CAATCGGAACCTCAATCAAACATTAGGTTACCTTCTTCTCTAGGCCGGAGGAGTAAAGATTAGAGGACAATTGCGGAGGTTGAAGGCCCTCGCGACGTTTCTTCTGGAGGCTTTCTTCTCTGCGGTTCTTCCTGATCTCCACCATGTTGTCCTCCCTCCGCCGACGACCCTCCTCCGCGTCAATGAAACTAAGAATCTGAAACCCTAAGAGAGAGGCAGAGAGATGGAGGGCGATAGGGTTTGGTCTCCCATTTTCTTTTCTTTTTTTCTTCAGTTCTGGCCTCTTTCATCCCCATCCTACCAGCTTCATCGCCAATAGCCCAACAACTACAAAATTGAATTCGCCCCATCCTTCCCAACACCCCATCAACTCGAACCCGCCTATTTCAAAAAATAAATTATCTGCTTCTATGTCTGCAAATTCAAAAACAAAAATAATAATAATTTGAAAACAGAGAATGAATTCAATCCAACACAGGAATTTTCTCTTTGTGCCTAATGTTGTATCCGGTTAGAGAGAGAGAAAGAGGGCGGATGGGATCTGGCTGGGGTGGTAGTGGTGAGGTTGTGGAGTCGCCGCTGGGTCTGGGGATGATGCGGTGCTCCATATATACATCGTTTGTGCTGTGATGATGGTGAGTGTGGCTGGTAATGGTGGTTATGGAAGAGAGAGGAGGGGATTGGGTTTGATCGGGAAGAAGGGAAACAGAGGTTCTAGAGAGAGAAAAAGAAAAGTTTTTGTTGGTTTTTATTATTTTTATTAATATTTTATTCAACTTGTGTTTTAAAAAGATTATTTTATTCTTTTTAGACGGGCATTTGGATGGAATTGGGGAAAACCTAACGGCGGGGGTGAAATTGGCGATTAAATTTAATACGAAGGCTAAATTGGCTGGAAAAAAAAATTCAGGGTGGACATTTCGACAAGCCAAATAGTCCATGGGGGTTTTAGACCCTTTACCCTTATAGTAATGGTCCCCTAAATTAAGATTAAACTTTACTTTTCGTTTTTTATATTGCTAAATTATTATAGTGGTACTTTTATTTTTTGGTTGAAAATTATACTGGTACTTTAATTATGCCTCAACTTTTAGAAATTGTCGTTTTGATCGTCTCAGTCAATTTTTTCGTTAAAAATGAGGGTATATTTGTCTTTATATTAATTTTAAATTGATTAAAATGTTAAAAATAAAAAATAAAATAAAAACTCTCTCTCTCTCTCTCTCTCCCCCTATTGATTTCTTCTCCCCTATTCCCCATGACCACCACCCGCCCCCATGAATCCATAACCCCAACAACTACATAACCCCAGCAACTATAGCAAAGAGACTTGGGTCTGATGTGTGTTATCTCATAAAAAAGATGGGTGTTGGGGAGAGAGACTTGGAGCCAAGATTCCACATATGTGGGTTATTGGGTGGGAGAAGAAATTCGGAAAAAGTTAATTGAGCTGACGGAAAGGATGATTTCTAAAAGTGGAGGCATAATTAAAGTACCATTGTAACAATTTAGCAATATGAGGGACAAAAAGTAAAGTTTGGTCTTAGTCCATGGACCATTGCTACAATTTAGCCATATTTTTTATTTTCGACTAATAACACTATGATATGCGTGAGATCTCTAAATAAAACTTATGAAATTAATTAAAATATTAAAATATTAATTATTTACTAAATAAATTATAATTAAAATAATTAAATAAAGCTAAGATATTGTTTAATTATAAATATTAAACTAAAGAAATTAATTTTTATATAACAAAAAGTTCACAAAATAATTTCAAATCATTATTTACTATTTCTTAAGTAATTGATGAAATTAATTAAAATTTTAAATACTAATTAAAATATAACTAATTAATAAGACACCACCAAGATATTTATATATTTATTATTTTAAAGAGTGAAATTATGAATCAGTGAAGAGGAAAAAATGAAATGGAGAGAATGGGTGAACTAAAGATTGAACGGAATGATGGGATGTGTGACGTAAATTGTAAAAACACATAAGGATAGTATATGTATTACAAAAAATATTCATTAACCCACACCGATTCCACATATGATTTCCGTAAAAGTGAAAATTGAAAGCAGCTACCTGCTAGATTCTTCAAAGTATTGTATGTTGCAGAGATTTCCTCCAAAAAGCAGTTTTTGTCTGTTTTACTAAACGGGATGGATATCCAAGACTGTGAAAGAAAGTGATTATAACTCCAAATAAGTAATGCCAAATATGTATTAATTAGTTTATTTAGTTTAATATTTATAATTAAGTAACATCTTAGCTTTATTTAATTACTTTAATTAATAATTATATTTTTAAATACTTTAATTCTTTTCATAGTGAACAAGGGCCACCAGCCACCTATAATTTAATATAATAATATAATAATATATTTATATAAGGACTAGCCCCTTGCCACACGCTCACACACGTGTGCCAATTGGTTTTCTTTTTTTAGTTTTTAGAAAAATAAAAAATAAAAAAAATGGGTAGTTATTTGCCATAAAAGTAGGATCCATTATCTGATTTTGTTTTTAATTTTAATTTTTTTAATTGTGAATTTACCATATTATCCTCATTTAATTAATAATTTTAATTCTTAATATTTGAATTAACCAAGGGCATTTTCTGGTATTTTGAATGTTTGACCAATCTCTGCCTTTTGCTTTATATATATAGATAATTAGTAATACGATGATCAAATTAATTTGGTTTTATGTTCCCATTGAATTATTTGTTTAATAGTATTAAAAAAAATTGTGATCTTTGTGTTTGGGCGTTAGCCCCCTTTGTTACCCAAAAAAACATTGGTGATCAGTTTTCGTTCTAAATTTATCATTATGTGGTTTAATTTTTTTAATAATATTTTCATTGAAGACTAGTTTTAAGAGGCCCTAATAATGAGCTAAATATGACAAAGCACAAATCCACAAATACACAGTCCATTGCTAAGTAGATAATTCATGTTATTTTTCAAGTTTATATTGAAGAGGAACCATCTTCACTCTCATCATTGTTAGAAAATGATGTAATTGCTTATTTTGAGTAGGGGAATTTCAAACTTCAATTATAAAAGAGAAAAATACCTTGGGCCATTACTAAGTGCCCGTTTGGTATTTGCTTACTTGGCGTCATAAGTAATTCTTTTAAAATATTTGAGAGCCCGCCATATTTGGTAAGAGAATAAAAAAAAAAATCACTTATTGTGAGAGAAAGCAATTAGGGAAAGTTAGTACATAGCTACTTTCATTTTCTAATTATGCCGCAATCAGTTTTGAGAGGCACTAGAGTTTAATGAAAATTTCATAATTCCAAAAATAACCCCATATGTTTTCACGATCGCATTTCTTTCTCCTCGTTCTTCTACTTCCCATTGTTCGTCTTTACGCATTCTCTTCCATCGTTCATCAGTTTTGAGAAGCACTCTCTAAACGCCACAAGAATCGAGTAATAGACATATTAGGTTAATTTTTATTGTCAATTTCATTCTTCTCAATTAGGGTTAAAAAAGCTTCTCATTAATTTTGAGTTTATCTTACAACTCAAACTGATAATAAACCATGAAATTAATTTTAGTAGCTTGAATTCCGTTTTGGTTTCTAAATTGCTGGTCAACTTGGTTCTACATTGAAATTAGAAAATTGAGTTTTGTACTACTTGATACTTTATTTATTTTATAATTAAAATAATATTAGGGTATGTTGGAAACATATTTAACAACAAAAATATATAAATAAAAGTGAACGTGTTTTTCTTTTTACCAAACACTTGAACATAAAAACAATTTCAACGTAATCCCCTTTGTAGTCATTATACATAGTTCACACTTTGACACAAAAATTTACCAAACACTCAAAAGTGATTATTGTACCAAAAACACTTTTGACAAAAAATTATCAAATGTCAAACTGCTTTCTTTCACAACAAATCTTACAAAAATTATTTTCATAGCACATTAATACCAACCTGACCCTACTATGTGTATTATTTATCGCTAATTTAAAAAAAAAACTAGATTATTTAACAAACTTGTATATAAAGGATGAAACATTTGGCCATTACATAATATTCTTGATCATTTACATATGTTGAGAAAATATTTAATTTATATTCAACAATATGTAAAAATTTCATGTCTTCAAAGAGATTAAAAGGGTTAACTACATAAAAGTATCCAAAATTTTGAGTCCTTTCAGATTAGTGCCCAACCTTTTAAATTTTGGATGTAGATACCAAACTCATGAAAAACATACAAAATTAGTCCCTTTGTTAGTCAGTCAGACCGTCAATTAAAGGGTTAAGTGACGACGTCCTCCAAAAGTTCAAAACCCAAAGGTTGGGTACTTTTATGTAATTAACCCAAATTAAAATGACTCATAGTAAAAAGGTCACCTGCCAAGGCGGTGTCGCGGCGCCCTCCAAAAGTTCAAAACCCTGAATTTGGTTCTTATATATAAAACCTTTGCGCCTTAAAACCCTAAACCCTGAAACCAGAGCTAAAACCTCCGAGGCTGATAAACCAGTAAACGAAAAAACCCCAACTTCGAGCTTTAGGGCACATCCTTTGTCAAACCCTAATTTCTATCTGTTTCCTGGAAAATTGGTGTAGTGTTTTGCATTTTCAAATTCTGGGGAATCCCTTTCGTCAAATTCAATTTTCTACTGAAAACAAAACGGGCCCTGAAAGCCTAGTGTTTTGAAAAGAATTTTGGCAATTCATTTTTGAACGATATATACATATATATAAAATTTTGGTTTGCATTACATATACAGAGGTTGGACCAGTCCGTCTAAGTTGAATTGCTTCTGTGTTGTGAATTTTTGTTACTAAAATTACCTAAAATATATATTTTCAAACGTATATAATATATATTACAAGTACAGGTTTTTAATCGTTATATTTGAGTTTTCAAATGGCTATGGATGGTAGCTTCAGCCTGGAATCTGCACTGGAGAGGTTTCTTGCCCGTTGTCCAAAGCTCCAATCTTCTCCAAAGTTTGTTTTGCTGACGAAAAAGGTACCGTGTTCACCCTCATTTTGTCCAGCTTTGTTTGGTTGTTGAAAAAATTCAATAAGAGGTATTCGTTTTTAAGGTGTTACAAAATTAGAAGACATGAAAACTAAGGATTTGCATTGATTTAGTTTTTTTAATAAAAAAAATTGGGAATATCTTTTCAACAAATTGATATTGAAGGGTTTAATAATGTTCCTATTAAATTTACTTTTTTTTTTCTTGGGCATTTGGGTTTATGCAGGGAAATGCAGTGACTCAAGATGAAGTGGTGAAAGCTCTAGTTGAGTTGTTTGTGCATCCAAATTATACTCTTCCCTTGATGGGATGTTTTCGTCCAATAGCTCAGAAAATCGTGGACAAAGCTGTCGAATTGCTTCGGCTTGTGCCCAATTTGCGGTCTAATTCTGACAGGGGAGTTGTAGAAGTTGGGAAAGATAGAGATTTAAATGAAGTTGAAAATGTGATTGAGTTCTATAGTGGAGCTGGGAGGGGTCTGGATCTTCACGAGCTTGTTTGTTTAGCCTTCTGTCGCGCCCTTGAGTTGGCACCTTTTTTTTGGGGGTAGGTTAATTTCTTTATGTTAATAGGGTGAGATATAAATTTCCATGTATATAATATGTGTGTATGTATATGTCTTGTATGTATTCATATATATATATATATATATATATATTTATTTATTTATTTATTTATTCGAGTTGTGTGTAATTCTGTATGAGAGAGCCTAATGAACCAATGGTTAATTGTGTATTTGTATTACTTTATTTTCCTCCTTAATTTTGTTTCTCCATTTATGAGTGTTCTGGTGACTTACTAGAGACAGACAATGTTGAGGGTATTTTGGAGACTTTGCATTCCAGAGTAGTGTTGTTATCGTGTTTACTTGCTTTTGAGGTTTTTGCGTTCTTATCTTTTCTGTTTCGTAAGTAATTTGTTTGCAATTTTTTGTTATAGTCGTGGAGACAAACTAAAATATACTATCTTCAGATATTATAAATATCAAATGAATCCTAGGATCAAGTGAAGTGAGATTATTTCACTAGTTATTTTCTTTGATAGTCAAGCTTTATAAATGAAGCACGCAGCAGTTACTAGGCAGTCTATGATGAGTCATTTAGAAAATTCGTCTTCATTTCTCTTGCTTTGCTTGTAGTTATGAGTCATCACCATTGCTATGCCTGTGTTGAAGGAATAACAATTCAAAGTTAAATTAAAGAAATATGTTCTGTGGAATACTTTCATATCTGCCTGGATCCCAATCTTTGACGTGTAAAAAGATAATTACATAATTGGTTCTTGCCTTATTTGGCAAATCAAATTGTACCTTCTACTCTAAGATTGTTTACCTTCATTGGGGGGTGGTGACACAAACAACACAATTTTTCAGGCACCAGCTGCTTCCCCCCTTCCCAGGAAACTAGTGCATAAAGCTCTGATTATATTTTGACCAAAAAAAGCTCTGATTGTTCATTTGGCAATATGTCCTCTGTCAGCAGTCTAAGATGAAGCTGATGATAGTGATAATATAAAAAGTCGACCCTGTTTTCCAAAACACTCCCCCTCCCCTGCGTGAACGAAAGAAAGAAACTAAAAAAGAAAATCTCTTGAAGTCTTTCTTGATCAAAAGCATGAATAATTAATTAAAGAAATTTCTGGTTCATTATAGTTTCTTCTGTCTTGTGTTGGAAACTCATACTGTCACTAGCTCTAGTGCCTATCTAAATGGTATATCGTGAACAAGCTTTTGAGCAGTGTTTATATATATATATATATTATTTTAAAGAAAATCATTTTCCCTCTGTAAGGATTCACCTAGTGGAGATACTGTTAGATGTGCTATGTGGTTGATAATTGGAAATTTAATTGTAGAAGCTGTATCATTGTTTGTTTCTGACTTTCCTTTTCCCCTTTTGGCAGGTCTATAGTAGGTTACTTTGAATTTGCTCCACCTCCATTTGAACGCATTTTGATGGGACCAAAAGTGTCTGATCTCTGTGTCGAGGTTTGTAAGTTTTGTAGCACATATCTGTGTAAATATGGAAAATCTCTCTCCTCCCCATCCTCTCCCCTCCCCCCCCAACCCCCCCAAAAAAAAAAGATTCAGCATTTATTTAGAATACTTATTTGCATCAATCATATCTGTTTTTTTTGTTACTTCTTTTTTTAATGATTGTTGTTAAGGGAGTTGAACAAGTAGAAAGAAAGTGATTTGCCTTCATTTAGATTTACAGTTTCTTCATATATTGGCCAATGGTGTAGTTTTACCATTCCTTGTCCCAAGAATCGATGTGTTTTCACTGAAATCTAACGAATACTAACAGTCTCACATTACCTTTTTGGTTTTGCTATTTTTTGGCCACTATTTTATTTTTGTGTCTAGTATTTGCTTTAGGTTTAAATGAAAGCAGGAAATAGCGGAAGCATATTCTCATTGGTAATAAACAAAGCACATAATAAAGTTAGTGGTTGAAACTTGAAACTTGATGTAATGTCGCGAACAAATGGTTCAAAACATACCCACACTTTGGTCACTTGCCATTTGGATATGCAATATGCAATCTGTGTTTTTTATCTGCAATTGCTAGCCTTGCCTTGTGCTTTCTCACGAGCTGGGATTTTGTTTTGTGAGTGTTTACTCTTGAACTTCAAATGGTTGTCAGTGAAGTGGTAGTGCTGTGAGTTCTTATGCGAAATCAAAATGAATTTTGATTCTTGTTGACCCCTTGCATTTGAGAGTTTAGAGTTCCATATTTTTCTATTGTTTCCCCTATTGATAATTGGCTTTATGTCATATTTTTGCTTTTGTAGGTTGGAACACGTGTATTGCTTGTGGTAGGGGTGTCCTACCGCCTCCTCTTAGTGAAATATGATTTTTTCTCTAAACTTCAGAATTGGTCATGTTTCTTGGACCTTGTCGAGCAGTCTGCAAATTTTGACATGCACAATAGTACTTCGGATACTGTGGAGGTCATCGCAGACATAAGATGGTGTGGGCTACAGATAATTTCCCTCATTCTTAAGTTAAGTTGTAAAGCAACCGAAAACTTGGGCATCACAGATGAAGACGCATTTTCATGTTTATTACGGTTGGTCTTGTTTGCTCCTTTTAGAAAGTTATTTCTGGATTACAAATATAAAGTTTCTAAGGTAGTTATGGCAATATTTATGTTGATATTGTTATTTCAGATGGGAGGAGTTCTGTCAGGACGTATCATTTGAGAGCGGTGGCTGGTATGTTGAATCATCCAGACTAAAGGGCTTAGTGTCCCTGGATGGAAGGAATGTTTATTGTCAGAAAAGCTGTTTGCAGTCTTCATCACAATGTTATGACATTGAGCCACAAACTAAGCGTCAAAGGTGTGCTACGTGGTATATTATCTTTTGTTTTTGATAAGAACATGGTATATTATCACTATTCAAATTTATGAACTATCCTCTCTCTCTCTCTCTCTTGTCTCTCTCCATGATGAAATCTGTGTCTTCATATGGAGCAACCTGTTTTCTCTTCTGCCTGTCTGCATTAGCAACTATTCTTTTGGTTTCTTACGTTGCCACTTAACTTTGTTGGTATCTTTAGGGATGAGAGATCAGCTGGCGATCCATTTGTTGTAACTTCAGCAGTGAAGGAAAGTTTTAAGATGATGCTCTCAGCTGTGAAGGAAAAGTGGCCTGTTCTTCTGTATGGTCCCACTGGCTGTGGGAAATCTGCTCTCATTAGCAAATTGTCCCAGGACAGTGGAAATCAAGGTATATATTGTTCTTCATGCTAGTTGAAAATCTCTCCTCTTATGTGTTCTTTAGTTTGTGGTGCTTTATATGTGCAACAAACTGTTTACCTTTTAAATATAGGGTGGGATATAGGATTGGCAAACAGTGTTTCTTACTACCTGCATTTGAGGCATATGCAATTTGATATTGGATTCAAAATAAATCGACATAGACTTGCCAAAAAAATAGATTGACATAGTCTTGCTGAAAAATAATTAAATCGACAGTGTGTTCAAACAATATGACGTAACTTTAGATTCATGTAGGATGTAGTGTTGATTTTTTATTTTTTAAAATGTACTGTGATTATGCATACCTAATGTGCTTGCTGTGGTGCCTTACATGAGCGACAGTTTTAATGCTCTTGCATGGTTCTTTGCAATTCGTATCTTAGGAGTATTTCCTTAGGTGTGAGCACTTCGATATTATGGTGGTTTCCAATGTAGTCCATATTACTAGATGAATCCAGAATTTTTATTTATTATTTATTTTATAACTTGTTCAGTTCATTGACATGGGAAACCCTTTAAATTCTGGTTGCCATTGATTAATGCATGAGACTTGCACCTTACAAAACCATCAAAAAGAGTAACTTAACTCTTCTGTGCAGCTTCATTTTGGAAATATAATACCCCTCAAGTTTCGTTTTCCTAATATTCCCACTTACATGATAGAAAATTATTGGCTTATGGAACAAGATTGGGTTCTTCTCATTGTTTGAACTTTTTCTTAGTGAATAGAGATAATTGAGAATTTGGGTACATGCATGACGACTTGGGCTTGCTATAGCACAATACAGGTGCTGGATGAAGCAGAAAATGAAAACAGAGGCCAAGAAGAAATTTTTTATTTTGATTAACTGTTACACAATTAAAATAACATTAGGCATCATATTCAGATAGATTGTACGCCGATGTTTGGTCTGAAAATAAATGCTTTATGTAAAAACGTTTAACAGCTGCAAATGTTAGGTATTTGTAGTGGAAGAGCATTATGGGAAAACTGGTCTTCTCTTCTAGAGAAATTCTTATATAGGCCTTATACGTCCTGGGGGAGTGTGGTGAACATGCTTTACTAATAGTTTAGTGAATTATCTAAGTATTTACATATCCTTTGCTTTCTGAGTACTTTCCCCAGCTGTTCCATTGGGTCTTTTCATACAACTAATATCTCCTCTCTCTCTGTTTCACAGTTCTATCAATTCACATGGATGATCAAATTGATGGTAGAACATTAATTGGGAGTTATGTATGTACGGAAAAGCCTGGTGAATTTAGATGGCAGCCAGGGTCACTTACGCAGGTTTGCAATCATTTTGTCAAATGAAAATGTACATGTACTATCGTATGCTCTTTAACCCCAATTTCTCCTTGTGGCAGGCTGTTTCTAATGGGTATTGGGTTGTCTTCGAGGATATTGACAAAGCACCCTCTGATGTGCGTTCTGTTATATTACCATTACTGGAGGGTGTAAACCTATTTGCAACTGGGCATGGACAGGTAAACGGTTCTTAGTTATTCTCCTTACCCTAGAAATAGACATTTAAATATGCTTTCCTGCTTACCTTTTGATTCGTCAATCTTACTTCTACTTGAGTACTCTGATATGCTTTTTTGCTACTGTTGACTCCACTTAAAAAAGGAAAAATCTACTGTTGTTTTCAAACAATGATTGGGAATTTGGGAGGAAGTGCTCTGAAAAGCACATGGAAGAGCTGCTTCTTCAGGAAGCACTAAAAAGTGCTTTTATAACCCATAAGCACTTTTGAGGACTCGATTTAACTTTAACCAAACTTTTCTAGCTGCCACGAAACACAATAATAAGGCTTAAACACCTACCCCAGGTTGGCTAGGAAAGCTCCCAAGAATGTTACAAACCATCAGACATATTGCATGGACTAGCTTTCCTTTTTATTTTTTTGGATGTTGGTAATAGTTTCTGCCCACTACCTTTCCCCCTTGTGTTCTCTGTAGTTTGTGGAATTTACTGGACTAAATCGTAAATAGGTACCATTTCCCTCCATATTGTTGAGGTTGAATTTGAATCTTGATTTGAAGAAAACCTTTAACATTACGAGTTCCTATGTTTTTGTGTTTGGAAGTTTCTTATCTTTTAAGATCTATATGGGCCGGATTTAACCTAGAAATTCTTGATTCCCCCACCAAAATAAAAAATAAAAAACCAAAGGAAACAGTTACTTTTATTATTTGCTTTTCAGCAAGGTACGTTCCTGTTTTTATTTGTTAACTATGTGCTATTCATGATTTTCAATTCCAATTTGTATTGTGTCTGGTGTGTCCTTCCAGTTTTGTTTTAAATTTTGATGATTATTTTTGTTGCTCTGCCATGTATGGGCTTTCTTTGTCTATCTTTGGTGTACTTGCATTTCTATTGTAGTTTTAAAACGTGCTTGAATCATTTTGGGATATGTGCAGGAAATTAGGGTGCCAGAAAGTTTTCGAATTTTTTCCACAATTTCAACCTCTAAGCTTGATCCGTCTTGCATTGCAGAAGGTTTGTGACCCCCCATTGAGCCACTCCTGGTTTCTCTTTGTCCTTAGGCATAATGATTGTACATAGCACTGTATAATGTCATTCGTTTGTCTGTTCATTATTTCTTTGGTTGCTCAATTGCCATTGGTTAATTTCTTTGAAACTAGAGTATATCCTGTTTTAGGAGAGATTTCTGGCTTCTTAGGGGATTGGTTGGGATTCTGCAGATTTTCAATTCTATCATTGTAGGAGTCAATAAAAACCGTATTGAATTGATTTATACAAGTGTTTTTATGTTGTCAACCATTGTAGTCATAGATGGAATAGTGTCGATAGTTCATCAGTAAATTGGAACAAATGTGCTATTATATATAAATTCCAGGACATATTACAAATGAATTTATTTGCGGCAGGTGGGAATTCACTTTCCATTTTTTTTAAAGTGTATGTTTCACCCTCAACTAATGAGGACTTGCAAAGCATAGTGAAAGCGTGGTATCCAAGTTTAGAGCCTCTTGCTGTGAAACTCACAGGTGTGTCATGACTCATACAGCATATTAAGAATGGTTCATATTCGATTATTTTTACAGACTGCTAACTAGTGACTGCTTCCAGAAACATTTGAAAGCATTAACTCTGCCACATTACGTCAAACTGGTGGATTTCAAGCTGGAAATTCTGCTTCTGTTAGTTACCCAAGTAGATTCTCCTTAAGGTAAGTAAAGTTAGTTACTGGATTTCATATTGGTTGGTTTGGATTTCAATATTGTTCTATTCCATTTGATGGCAGGGATCTCCTCAAATGGTGCAAGCGTATAACAGGCCTGGGTTTTAGCTTTGAGGGAGATGATTTGTCACCTTATGCACGTGATTGTATCTATCAGGAGGTCGGTCTTAATCAATGGCCTTCCTTTTATTGTATCGTTTGATTTGTTTTGAATGACTGGCTTTCTGTATTAAAATTTTGGAACATTGTGTTGCGACATAGGCGGTTGACATATTTGCGGCCTTCTCAACGTCTACGAAGAACCGGTTAACTTTAATGCAATACATCGCCAGGTTGTGGGATGTGCCATCAACTGTTTCAGATACCTTGTATCCTCCTAATAAGCCTGTAGTCCAGGTCTAAGTTAATTTCAGAATTCAGATTGCAACAAACTTTGTGCCTGGTTAGGTAGAATAAAGAATTTCTCATAATTGGAGCTATATTGCAGGATTTACTCTCAGATTTAAGAGTTGGACGAGTTTCCCTCCCTCGCATTCATACCACCGTGAGTCAAGGCTTCTAACATTGTCTTAATGTAAGATATCTTCAATACAGACTTTGTGAGATTCATTACTCTTGCAGAAGCGTGGAAAGAAAGATTACAAGAAGAAACCTTTTGTTGAGATTCGCAGTTCGATTCACTTGCTTGAAAGAATTGCTTCATCTGTTAAGTGGAATGAGCCTGTTCTATTGGTTGGTGAAACTGGGACTGGAAAGACTACACTTGTACAGGATCTGGCAATGAGGCTTGGTCATAAGCTAACAGTCTTGGTAATACTGCTTATGCCTCTTTTTCTCTTTCTTACTCTCACTGTCTGGGTTCTGACTAATTTACGGGTGTCTCTTTTAAAGGTTGATCTAATGTTGATTTCTGTTTTGTTCCAGAACTTAAGTCAGCAAAGTGATGTTGCTGACTTGTTAGGGGGATATAAGCCTATGGACGCAAAGTTTATTTACCTTCCGCTGTATAATGAGTTTTGTGATCTATTCTCTAAATCATTTCATGTGCAGGTATTGTTTATTTCAAATGTTATTTGCTTGATTGTGGATTTATAAGTTGTGGCAATAACCTGTGCTGTTATATGCTTATATGCAGCTTAATCCTAAATTTATTGGGAAATTAGAAGATGCTCTTAAGAAGGAGGATTGGGAAAGGTTACTAAAGGGATTTGAGGTTGGTGTTAAAAAGTTTTTCCAGAAAGTTGAAGAGGCGAGATCGTTAGTTGAAGAGTCCGGAAAAAAGCGCAAGAAAGCTCCAGTTGAGGAACAAATCAAAGCCTGGGAAAATTTCACACTGAAAGTAGAGAATGCCAGTGCACATGGAATGATATTTTCGTTTGTGGAAGGAGCTTTTGTAACTGCACTGAGAAATGGTGAGTGGATTTTGCTTGATGAGGTGAATTTGGCCCCTCCCGAGACGTTGCAGAGGGTAATCAGTGTGCTTGAAGGGGAGCATGGATCACTTTGTTTAGCAGAAAGGGGGGATATTCATTATATAGATAGGCATCCCAGCTTCCGTTTATTTGCTTGTATGAATCCTGCAACTGATGCTGGCAAGCGAGATTTGCCCTTCTCTTTGAGGAGCAGATTTACAGAGTATTTTGTTGATGATGTGTTGGATGATGAAGATCTAACACTATTTGTTGGTCAATTTTTAGGTGACCGAAAATCAGATTTGCAATTAGTGTGTAACATTGTGTCCTTTTATAAAATTGCCAAGAAACTATCTGAAGAAAAGCTGCAGGATGGAGCTAATCAAAAACCACAATATAGTTTGAGGTCTCTTTACCGTGCACTAGAATATACAACAAAGGCTGAAAGAGAGTTGGAATTTGGATTTCCAAAAGCAATATACGATGGGTTCTGTATGTTTTTTCTCACTTTATTGGATAAAAGCAGTGCTTTGGTTATGGAAGAAACAATCTTGAAGTATTTGTTAGGTGGAAAAATTCCGAAGGAAGTACCTTATTTTAAGTACTTACGTGACTCAACTATTAACGGGAGCTCTGAGAACATTATAAAGTATACTGTAACTGAAAGTGTTGAGGAACGTCTCAGGAATTTGGCTCGTGCTATTTGGATAAAGAAATACCCTGTTCTATTGCAGGGACCTACATCCAGTGGCAAAACTAGCCTTGTTCAGCATCTTGCTGCAATAACAGGTCATGAATTTGTAAGAATAAATAATCATGAACATACCGATTTGCAGGAATATCTTGGTTCCTATATAACGGATGCTTCTGGGAAGCTAGTCTTCCATGAAGGTGTACTGGTGAAGGCTGTACGAAATGGGTATTGGATAGTTCTGGATGAGCTTAACTTAGCTCCATCTGATGTGCTGGAAGCATTGAACCGATTACTAGATGATAATAGGGAGCTTTTTGTGCCTGAGTTGCAGGAAACTATTCATGCAGATGAAAATTTTATGCTTTTTGCCACTCAGAATCCTCCTGGTTTTTATGGTGGGCGTAAAATGCTTTCTCGAGCTTTCCGCAATCGTTTTGTAGAAATTCATGTTGATGAAATTCCTGAAACTGAGTTGAGTACAATCTTATTAGAGCGGCGCCCTGGACTTTCTAAAAAGATGGCTAAGCAAATGATTATTGTGATGAAGGAATTGCAATTGAAAAGGCAGATGAGCAAAGTTTTTGCTGGGAAACATGGGTTCATTACTCCGCGAGACTTGTTCCGGTGGGCTGATCGTTTCATAGAACTTGGGGGTGGTTCTGATGTGGATTTGGCCCGAGATGGTTATTATCTTTTGGCAGAGAGGCTTCGGGATGAAGGCGAGAAATGTGTTGTTCGAGAAGTTTTGGAAAAAAATTTCCATGTTAAACTTGATGAAGACAACTTGTACTTTCAGGTTCTCTCTCTCTCTCTCTCTCTCTCTCTCTCTCTCTCCCCCCTCCCTGCGTTGGGGTGTCTGTGGAACATCCTGCTTTTTGGCTTTCTTGGTTTCTCATGTGTTCTGGTTGGGCTAGGGTTGCATTTGTGATTTCTTTTGAAGTTGCATGGCCTGGAAATTTCTTCTGCTTAATAATTTTGCCAACATGGATTCAGTAATCAGTATTCAGTAAAAAAACAAAGACTTATAATTATTGGATTTGTTGTCGTTATCTGTTAGTAGAAGGATTTTTTTTATACCACATACTCATTTCCTATGTAGTTAGTCAATTGTGTCCTGTAAACTTTATAGATTTGTCTCCTTTTGTATTGGTGGAGTTCATTCAGAAATTGGGGGAAAAAATTATCAATTACGCCAGGGGGAACCTGATTGCTTTCCAATACTTTCTACAGTGCATGAAAATGAGCAACCAAATTGGTTTTATAGTGAATGTGTTCTGACTTATTTTTTGTACTTTTAATAGGAACCTGTTCCCAACTTGCCTGATGGTGCTGAAGTTCCGAAGAGTCTTCAAAAGTATGGGTTAGACTGTAGTTTCGGTTTGGTGCTAGTAAGTTTTCATTATTTTTCTAAATACTGAAACTAATTTCTGTTCAATTCGGTGGTAGTTGGACTAAAAGTATGCGAAGATTGTACTTCCTAGTGGAGCGTTGCTATAAAGTGCGGGAACCTGTACTTCTTGTTGGTGAAACAGGGGTTGGGAAGACAACCGTCTGTCAGTTGCTGAGTATTCTTTTGGGTTCAAAATTGCACATCCTGAACTGTCATCAGTACACCGAAACCTCTGATTTTCTTGGGGTTGGTTATGTTTTATTTATGTATTGCATTTGTAGTTGTGCTTTTAATTCCTACTACTGGGCACTCTGCAGATGCTTAATGTTTTTGGAATGTTAGTTTTATTTTGATACCATTCAAGATTGGAATGATAGTTAATGAAATGCATTACAGGGGTTTTATCCTATTCGGGAGAGATCAAGATTAACATCAGATTTTAAAAGAACAATTGAAGAATTGTTGATGACAGAGGCCTTTAACCAGTTTCATCTGGACTATGTAAGAATATTTTATTTGTCTATATTTTCAAGTTGGTTATAAACAAATAGATGAACACAAATTTTTCTGTCACACTTAAAAAAATGATGATAATCAAATGGCTAAATGATTTCGAATTTGGCTGATGTTTTGTATGGAGAATGTGTAGATCTTAAAAGTAGGTAGTTCAGATTCTTGGATCACATCTAGAGTCTGCAGATGCTATCCCTTACTTTTCCCTTGAAAGGGATCCCTCTTAAGAAGCTCCCATTGTATCTATATATTTATTTGAAGTAAAATATGTTTTAGCAAAAGTCAATTTGAAGAGTAGTGTATTTTTGAAGATAAAAATTGAGCAATTCTAAGGCGCTTTCACGTTTTTATAAACTTTAATGTTTCTTATTAAAAACTCCTCTACATTTATTTGCAAATGTTCAATGTATTGTTTTCCTACAAAACAATTTATTTACTTTGAACAATAGTTGGCAATGCTTCATGACTTAGGTCAAGTGGAGATATGGGTTGCTTTATTTGTATTATATTTGTAAGTTTCTCATGCATCTTTTTCTTTGTAGACCGTCTCTTCGGACATTGGTCAAGCCTCTGCAACATTGTCCAATCTGAACAAAATGATAAAAGATTACAAACAAGGTCTGATTTTAAATCCTGATGTCACCAAGCACAATCTGATGACTTTGGAAGGGATAATGCTGAAGCTTTCTGAGATGCACCAAGAGTGGCAGAAAATGTTTGTATGGCTGGATGGGCCCCTTGTTCAGGCAATGAGGAGTGGTGATCTCTTTCTGGTGGATGAAATTTCCTTGGCTGATGATAGTGTACTTGAGAGGTTGAACAGTGTCTTGGAGCCAGAGAGAACACTGTCTTTAGCTGAGAAAGGAGGTCCTGATCTGGAGAAAGTTGTGGCTCACGAGAGATTCTTTTTGCTTGCGACAATGAATCCTGGTGGTGATTTTGGTAAGAAAGAACTGTCTCCCGCTCTTCGCAATCGGTTCACAGAGATATGGGTTCCCACTATTGGTGATAGAGATGAGCTTGAAAGTATTGGTCTTGCAAGGATAACCTCCCCGAAGCTCTCATCCATTTTGGATCCTTTGCTGAATTTTTGGGAGCAGTTCAACAATCTAAAACCAGGGAGAACACTTACTGTGAGAGATCTGCTGTCTTGGATTGATTTTATTAATGTGACTGAAAACAACTTAGGATCTGAGTCTGCATTCCTTCATGGGGCATTCCTTGTTTTGCTTGATGGACTGAGTTTAGGGAGTGAAATTTCAAAAGGGAACATCATTGATCTGAGGAATGAATGCTTCAAAATCCTTTTAAAGCAAGTGAAGGTCTGTTTGGTTTCCTATATACCATTCCTTGTTTGTTGAGTACTTGAATTTGTTATCTTATTTGTAATCTTCTTGGATTCCTCGCACAAGTGCATACGCTTTCAATTCTGTTATCTTTTGCTTCACCTGTACATATATTGGCTTTGAGTGTGAAACATGAGTTCGAGTGGTTTGGTTGTCAATCTAAAGCCGTTCTTGCGTACATTTGGTAACACAGGGAAACGTTACTGAATTGGAGTACTCAAAACTTGCAAGAATTCAAAACTATGGTTGGGGTGATCCTGATACAACTGAAGGTGATTCATGCAGTGATAGCATGCAGTGTGACAATATTTTTGGTGTGGATCCGTTCTATATAGAAAAAGGTAACTACATCATGCATCATGCTTTCCCTCTGCTTAATTGTTTTGAAGAGGTTTTTCTTAGGCACTGTATGAACTCTTTCCTTCTCTCTACCCTCTCTCTGTTTCGTGGCACTGAATCTTAAATGTTTGTCATTAAATTTCCTTGATGTTTAGTATTCAATTTAGATATTGTCTTCTTCTATGGTGTGCTATAGGTTCTGTAAGTTTTGATGCTGAAGGGTTTGAGATTTTGGCACCAACCACCAGGAGAAATGTATTGCGGGTACTTCGAGCTATGCAGCTTCCCAAACCTGGTATGTCCCTTTCAGTACAATCGATTCTTCCGAATGTTTTCTTTGTCCGGAGTTTTTGTTATTTTTATATCCTAATTACGTCTTTAACATTCTTAATTGATTTTATGCATTCCAGTTCTATTAGAAGGTAGTCCAGGTGTTGGGAAAACTAGTTTGATTGTTGCATTGGGCAAGTTTTCTGGTCACAATGTTGTCAGGATAAACTTGTCTGAGCAGGTCAGAAATTTTTTTGGGCTATCCTATTCTCATATAACATATATATATAGATATGCATCTTCTGCTCACTCTTTTTTTTTTCTCTATGCATCTGGGGATGGTTCATATGATTCTGCTGCAGACTGATATGATGGACTTGTTGGGTTCTGACTTACCAGTTGAAAGTGATGAAGGAATGAAGTTTGCCTGGTCCGATGGGATCCTTTTGCAGGTTAAAACACCTTATCTTGAAAGTTTAATGTCTTTACCTGTGGCTTGAATTTATCTTCCTCTCATTTTCTTGTCTTACGTATTAACTCTTGCAGGCTTTGAAAGAAGGCTCTTGGGTTTTGCTTGATGAACTTAATCTTGCTCCACAATCTGTATTGGAGGCATTTCCATGATCCCTGTTTGTTATTTTATGCATTTATATTCGGATAGTTTCTTGTTTATAATATGTTGCTCCTGCACTTTTTAGTAAGCTATTTTATTTTTATGTCAATTATGATTAATGGAGAATTCAATCATTTTAGGGTTTGAATGCTATTCTGGATCATCGAGCTGAAGTGTTCATTCCAGAGCTGGGTTATACTTTTAAGTGTCCCTCAGCCTTCAGAATATTTGCTTGTCAAAACCCTTCCTATCAAGGTGGTGGCAGAAAAGGCCTTCCAAAGTCTTTTCTCAACCGTTTCACAAAGGTATTTGTCTAATTGTCGTAGGAATTTTAGACTTGTGTGAAACTGATGTTTATTATGAAATGGTCACACCAGGTGACAGTATAAATATGATCTCTCTCTTTGTTTCAGGTGTATGTGGATGAGTTGGTTGAGGATGACTATCATTTTATCTGTAGTTCACTTTATCCATCGATTCCTGTACCTCTTCTTTCAAAACTGATTTTGTTTAATAAACGGTTGTATGAAGACACTATGGTGTATCACAAATTTGCTCTGGAAGGTTCCCCTTGGGAGTTTAATCTAAGGGATGTGATTCGATCATGTCAAATCATACAAGGTTTGAACCGCTTTTTTTTTCTTTCCATTGTTAATTCTTGTGAACAGTGTATTGTTGGATAATGCTGGTTTCTAATATTTTGTTTTCAATTTAGATGCACCCTCTGAGTCCAAAGATTATTGCTTCCTGGACATCGTCTATGTTCAACGGATGCGTACTGAATCAGACCGAAGAAAAGTCCTACAGCTATATGAGCAGATTTTTGAGATAAAGCCATATATAAATCCTTATCCACGAGTTCACCTCAATTCTGAATACTTAATGGTTGGAAATACTGCTCTAAGAAGGAATTGTGTCCAGTCATCTAGACTTCCTAGCAGCACACTTAAAATTTTGCCTGGAATTCGTCAAAGCTTGGAAGCTACCACACAATGTGTAGAGCATCAATGGATGTGTATCCTGATTGGTCCAGCATCCTGTGGTAAGACTTCATTGGTCAGGTTACTGGCTCAGCTCACTGGAAACGTGCTAAATGAATTACATCTTTCATCTGGGACTGATATATCTGAAATACTTGGATGCTTTGAGCAATATAATGCCTTCCGAAACTTCCGCTCAGTTGTTGCTGAGGTTGACTCCTATGTGAAGGAGTGTTGCAGTTTGCGATTGGAGTTTTCGAAGGAGGCATTTTTACATGATAGCAAGGGTCTTATTACAAGATGGTTTTCTTTCGTATCGAACGTAGATTGTGATTCTTTTTCTTGTTTTAGTTCTAATTTTTTGGAAGATAGGGTGAGATTTTCCAATTCTCTTACTTTGTTAATGGAGATTGTTGAACATCTAAAGTTGGTCGTGGAAAAAAATGTTCCATCCATATCTTGGTCAAGCAAAGAACTTGATAGAGTTATGAGGACAATTATCAAGTTGCAAGAAGGTTATGAGAAAGGACCATTTTCAGTAAAGTTTGAATGGGTTACGGGAGTATTGGTAAAGGCTGTAGAACATGGAGAATGGATTGTTCTAGAGAATGCGAATTGTTGTAATCCCACGGTATGTAAACTTTGCTATGCTTATGACCTTTATTATCCTCTAACATTCATGTTCTCATGCTGCTTTCCAGTGAAGTTAATATGCCCCATGTTTATTTATCGTGTCACCTAGTTACTAATTTGATTGTTGAATCTAGGTACTTGATAGGATCAACTCTTTAGTGGAGCCGTCTGGATCAATTACAATTAATGAGCGTGGGGTTGTTGACGGAAAACCAGTTGTCATCCAACCGCATCCTAATTTTCGGATGTTCCTCACTGTTAACCCAAGTTATGGTGAAGTATCCCGAGCAATGAGGAACAGAGGAGTTGAAATATTTATGATGCAGCCAAATTGGCTACTAGATGAGAGCAGCAGATACAATTGTGAGGAGACTGAGCTAAATGATGTGAAAAGATTTCTTGTTCTCTCAGGTATTCCCTTTGCTAAATTGGTGCATTCTATGGCCAAATCACATATATATGCTAGAGGAGAAGGATTACGTTTTGGTGTTTCCATCACGTATCTTGAGCTTGCTCGCTGGGTTCAGTTGTTCAAACAACTTCTCATGAATGGAAGCCAGCCTTTGTGGAGCCTTCAAACAAGTTGGAAGCATATATACCTTAGTATGTTCGGTGAGGCTGTCGGAGGAAATGTTATTAGTCATGTGAAATGCACATATTTATCGGGAACTGAATTGTGTGAATCTGACTCGTCACTGCGTCCATCTTTGTGTTTGCCTGGAGGATGGCCGACACCATTGAAGCTGAGGGAACTCGTGTGGCACTCGAAACAAGCTCTTGTGAAGACTAATTGCATGTACCTTGAGTTTCTGGGGGCTAAGTATGCGTCATACAAATTTCAACTCGCGAGGAGCAGGTGCAATATGTCCCTGGATTCAACTGCTTGTCGCTATGTAGTGACTTACTTGAGGGGTATGGGGGTGTTAAATGAAACTATGGTTCACAGGGCTTCCACTTTTTTGACTTTAATCTCCGTCGAGAATACTGAAGTTGATAAGGTATTGGCCAAGGTTGAGAAAAAGCTATTGTTTGCTGCCAAATGGGCCATTGAACAAGCTACTGAAAGTGATCTCAAGCTGTACCTTCTGTGGTTTAGCTGGTTTCATTCTCGATTACAGCCTTTCTGTCAGTTCTTTGATTCTTTTGTAAAGTCAATTGCACTAAGTATGGATCATCCTGTTTGGGAATATACGTCCATTCAATGCCATGACCTTGCATCTCTTCACAAAGTAGAATTTGAAAAGCAGCTGATACCACTGCTCTCATTAGGGTTGGTTGATGTGATTGAATCAAATGAGAAGTTCAAAATATCCAGTGAGTTTCTCCACAGTGCTGTGAAGTACGTCGAGCAACTGAGGCTCACTTATCAAGAGTGGAATAATGAGGACAGCTATGCGTCAAAGGAAGCTTGTTACTTTGAAGAAGTCTTAAAACGTTTGCGGAAAGAGATCAATAATCTGGACAGTTCTTCGCACTTCCACTCAGGGAAGTCCTTGTTGTGGGTTCATGGTGGTCACCCGATTTTGCCGTCTTCTTCTAAACTGTTTGAAAAGCAGCTTCAGATTTTGGAACTTTGTGAGTCGGTTTGGCCAACTAGAACAGGATTATTTGTCCATGGTAGGATATTATCGTTATCTGTTTCTTCCGTTACTTTGATTTTAAAGCTGATATAACACTGTCTTTGTTCGGTGGCTGTTACAGTGAATGATCCTCTTATTGGAGTAGTTTCTGATCTTCGCTCCTTTGTCTTGGAAGGTAGAATCTTAAAATACTTCTTTGATTTCTATCATCTGAAATGGTTTGAGGACATGTCGTTACAAATTCTTATGATATTTATAATTGACGTAGGTGTTTCCATGTCATCATGTATCACTGGGAAATCGGATTCTTGCGAGGATGAGGACCATGTTGTTCAACAGTTGGATCGCATTTATCAGGTGGGAGGCCCTTATGTTTTTCACAATCATCATTTTGAATCTTCCTATCACATGTTGATGAAATACATACATATATGTTATATAAATTTTCTGCAGAAGCTTTTGCAATTGTTTGTAAAGGAAAGAATCAAAATTGAGGAGACTTCATGGTCGAACAAGAATTTTTGCGGAGCGAATGGATCTTTTTGTTGTTCTTTGTGCATTGTGGCATTAGGTCAGGCGTATGGGTACAGCTGTTGGCAGGACGTATTTCCCTTGATGGATAGTACAAGCTTTGCCCTAGATATGAAGCTACTTCAGGAACTATCATCTGTCATTCTGGTCAATAACAAAAGATTACATCTGGTAAGACCATCTAAATTGTTGTACTCTGCTAAAATCTATAACCATAAACTATATGTATGACATCTTTCATTCTGGTCATTAGTAAAAGATTACAGCTGGTAAGATCATCTAAACAGTTGACATCTGCTGAATTCTATATACATGAACTATATATGATATAATTCTGAGCTTAAGAGGAATTTGCTTACAAATCACTGATTTTCCAACACTCAGCTGAATTTTTTGCTTTGGTAATTTTTGTTAATGGTTTGGTGACTTAGAGTAGAGTTCCATCTTTGTGACTTAAGGTTCCAACATTTGATATCTCAGTTGGGTGTCACTTATCTAACCAATTTAGGTTGCATGCAATTGGGTGGGATTTTCAAGTATTCTGACCGAAGGTTCAAGTTGATGTTCTCGGAAAGATGTCTCTTGAGGTCGGGTTGGCATTCGAAATGGATCAAAGGGTTTAGGTTTTGGGATTTTTATGCAAATCCTTCTTCTCCTTCAGTTAATAGGGTTTTGATTTTGAAGGAACCTGACGATCAGGTGGTGGGGGAGTTAAAAATAGTTATTGGTTCTTGTTGAAGAATATGAGTCCCACATCGCAAACTTGAGTAAATAATATACAATATATAATGAATGGTTCTACTATTAATAATACCGAGGCCTTTTGTGATAAAACCCCACACTTACTGGGCTTTGTAGGTGGTTAAGTTGGGGACAATATCGGTGTTGTTAGTAGTGTGCCGCTAGCCCGTCTCTCTGAAATTTAACAGTTATAGAATTTTTGTTGGTTCCATCTAGGTTGGTTAGAAGATTATGGAAGTTAGAGTCATTAGGAGTCTTCTCATGTAAATCTTACTATATGCAATCAATGGCCGATTCTTCTCATTTCGGAAGGCCACAGAATAATTTATATTTGATTTACAGGAGACAATTTTTTGGTACCTTTCACTTCATTGTTGCTTGATGTGTGAAAATGTTGAATCACTTTCTGTTTCATTGTCCCGTTGCGCTCTCACTTTGTTTGGGGAGACCCAAGCTGGGTTGTTCTACTTTCATGTGATGCATTACACTGTGAGAGGTATGAGTTTTTTCAAGGCAAAAGGAGGGGCATGTGTTATGGGGATGTGCTATGGTATGATGGCAATTTTTTGGGTGGAATAAATGGAGAGGAATAGGAGGATTTTCCGCAAAGCAAGGGCCGAGGACTTGCCACTTGTCACAAGTGACTTGTGGGTTGTAATTGGTCATCACTATCTTCAGAGTTGTGGGCTTTTTTTTCGTGGTTTTTTTTTTTGTGATTGGCATTTAGCTGTGCTTTGGCTTATTCATTTTTGTTGTTTTACTGTTTCATGCTTGTTGCTTTGGCTTATTCATTTTTGTTGTTTTACTGTTTCATGCTTGTTATTTTATTTGTTGTATTTAACTAGATGTCTTTTTCCCTGTATTGTTTTACTGTTTGGTGCTTGTTACTGTTATTTTTTGTATTTTAGTAGACATATTTTTCCCTGTATTGTACTGCTGTTTTCCTTATTAATGAAACTATGTTTCTTTCCAAAGGAACAATTGATATATATATTTTACTTTTCTTTGAATGACAGGATTTAGCCAAAGTATCTAGCCATCTGAAGTATGCGTTGAAATTCTCATTGAGCAATTCATCTAGACCACCTCAAATGTTTTCTCCCCATCAAAAGATTCTGTGGATACTGGATGTGTGGAGTTCAGTTGATGCAGGTCAATGAAACTTTCTGTTAAATTCTTCTACCTGTTCTGTTATCAGTATGCTTATGTCTTTCCTTGTGTTGCAGTCAATGAAAAAGTTTCCAGCTTCGTACTTGAGATGTGGTTCAGGTGGCATCAATCGTTGTGGATGTATTGCCCTGTTTCTGTCAAGGTATCTATTTTTATCTTGTGTTGTGGACTTTCTGCCATTTCAAATTTCGTTTTCATTGACGAACTTCCTTTTTCATGTTACTCTAATTGCATACAGAGCTTCTCGAGCACTGCTGTTTATGATATTCCAGTACCTGATGTTCTGATTCAGCCGGTGGTAACAGCAACCGTATTCCAGATACTGTAAGACATTGGTTTCTTTTCGAAGTATTACTGATTCTAAAAAATTTAAGAAGTTGAAGATAAAAAACATAGATGAGTACTGAATGTTTTCTTCTTGGCACCTGGTCTGTTGTAATGGATCTTGGTAGAATTTCTTCTTGATTATCATCTCTATTTATGGTCTTAATGTTGGTTCAAAAGTTTGGTCATCATTCCATAGAACTTGTAGGTTTTGTCAGTTTGAAGTCTTACTAAAGAGTAACTGCAACATTTATAGGCATAAGGTATTTCTTCTTATGAAAAGAAAAAAATATAAATGATTTAGTGTAAAGTTTGACTTTGGTGCAATTTAACGTTATTGTTCAATAAGGTTTTACATTTATGTTTGTTTTTTGTGTTGATTGCTATATTTCCTGTCCCCATAGATGTGTCTTTCATGTATGATGTTCCTCTCTCTTTCTCTTTCCATCAAATTAGGCAAAGCACACCTGCCATCAAGGATTTTTTTGTGAGCTCTCTGAAGCTTAGAGTTGCATCATGTAATCTTTGGCGCGGCTCTCTGCCAGGAGCAAACTTACCTTTTTTTCTACTTTCCGCTGCTCGCTCTCTGTTCCAGCAGGTAGAGTAACTTATGTGCATTGTTAACTAAGTTTTTTGGTAAGTATAATACAAATTTATTCACATGATACTCTGCTTGCAGATCGTATATGCACATGAGAAATCTTTTGATGCTGATCAATTTGCTAAAATCAAGTCAGTTTTAGAGGTATGTTGTTTTAAGTTGTCTAAGTAGTGAATAATATGCTGAAATATTACGTGCTGCTTGGAAATTGGTCATGGCACTCTATTATAACGTTGGGTTACTTGTCAGATTCAGAATATTGTTGATAGTCATTCCTCTCCTGTAAGGTTATGATTTACTTTTCAGAATGCCATTGCTTGGAAATTGGTCATAAAACATTGTGGTTTGTAAGTGGTATACCATGAGATGATGACAGATTACTTGGCAAGGCTACTCAATATGTGCTGAAGAAATAATAGTCTAATCATACCATTTCTTCTACGTTTTCTGATCACAATGATCTTCCAAAAATAATAAGATATTGACTGCACTATTGTACCTTGCTATTGTGACAGCAAGGAAGCGGTCTTGTGGTATCTCTTATTTCGAAGTCAAGTCATCATGGGCTGAAAGACTCAGTGGATATGTTTATCAAACCACTGCTTCAAAACCTCGATCCTCATTGCTCATCTAAAGGTAATTTCTTTATGAATTATTTTGTGCATACATTTTTGGGGCGTGTGACCCTATCTGTTTCATGCTGTTGGAATCTAATCTAATACTTAAAAAAAAAAATTCATACTGAATGTATCCACTCATATCCAGATTATGGTTTCGATTTTATTCATTTTCAATATGAGAATTCTCTATTTTCTTGTAGGACTATATATTGGTTTATAAATTATTTCAAATTTTTTATTTACTATTTAAATGTTGACTGGACGTTTCAGAGCCTGGATTTAATCATGGGTGTGTTTGGCTGCGGCTTGGGATATTACGTCTTAAACTATTGCTCTGCGGTGATGATATGGATCCCGCCATGAAATACCATTGCAAGAATTCACTGTTAGCAGAGAAGATATCTTTGCTAAAACTTGAAATTCAGGTTTCTTCCTTGAATATTTTCTTCTATTGATGACTAGTTTCAAAGTATTCAAGTTTTGGTAATGCTTTTCAATAATATCAATATCGCAACAAGAATTTATGTGAAGATGTACTGCAATTGTTGCTATCTAGATATGTGTGTTCATGGACCTAATTGTTTTGTTTCTTACAAATTGCTTTGTATGTGCAAGCACGTATTGGTTGGCATGCACATCTAGATATTTGTGTTTTTTAATCTTTTGTATTCTTCCAATGAAAGTTTGTCACTTGTGAAGAAAATTGTAGATAGTGCTTATGTGTGCATGTGTGTGCAGCAGCACATATAATGTGGCGGAAACAATTCAGGTTTTGTATTGATGTGTTCCTCTTAGGTGGTGCTTCAGATTTTGTGTTTAGTTCTCTTGTACGAGTAGACTTCTTGTTCACTTATGTGGTACTGTTTCATTTTTTAAGGAAGAGTTGTGTTTCTTATTAAAAGAATGTGGCGGAAGCAGTTAAACCCCAAATAAGAGAAATCTTTGGAATGTAGATAAGCCCTCTCTGTAGTTGGAAAATCTGTGAAAATTCTCAGAAGCTATTATCAAAATGATTTGAAGCCACTGCAATGCTACAAGAGGGTTTCATTTATAGGCCTATTCTACTAAATAAACTATTATATTTAACATTTGAAACTTTGGTTTGCAATGTGCTAATCATTATTAACATTTGTATATTAGTTATAAATATATGTTCCTGAACATTCAATTTTCTACCCTGTACTTTATCAACATGCATGAAGCATGTGCCAATTTATGGTTGATGTCAAATGAACTCTGAACTTCTTTGTACTGCAAGATGAATTTTGTTTGATGATTTAAGGAGAGTAAAGCTGAATATCTCTTGAATGAATTTTTGTTTTCCTGATAGGTTCGGCAAAAATGCGAATACTTGGCAGGGCAGATTTCTACAAGATATTCTCATGAAAAAAGGGCTCAGGCATTGAACAAGCTTGAAGCTGAGCACAAAAGGCTGCAGAGAAAGGTCTAACAATTTTACTTTTGTTCCGTTACTAGATCATTATATTTTGATAATTCGTATCCTTTGGTAGAGTAACTATTTGTCTGAAATTCGTCACTCTGGTAACCAGTGCGAAAATTATGCTGTGCATAATTAGTGAAGTTTACTGCAATTTGAATGTTGCCTGTTGAGATAGATGAATGGTGAACTTATTGTTCAGGATTCATGGGTTTTCTTTATGTCTAAAAGTGAACCTTCCAATCATACTAGCTGTTGTACCACTATTTCTTGCTCGCTGAGGTCTTTTTGGCTGTGGGGCATAGAAGAAGGCTGCCACTCTTTGGGGTTTTGCATTGGTGAGGGGTGAGGGTTAACCGGAAGTCCATGTGAAAATATCTGCCGACTTGAAAAGGAAAAAAACCCCAAGACACAATGCTGGGTATCCTACCTGAAATTAAATTACAACTCCCTTCTAAACAAATATCAGAGAAAAAAAAAAGGTCAACTCCCTTCAAATCTGACTTTGCTCACGGTTCCTCTACTCAATCGAGCTTATAGGGGAGTTGATATGATTTTTATTCTGAACTAAGCATTTTAGGAGTTCACGTTAGAGTAATTCACCCAACTGTATGCGACTTTAATTGTGTTATGTTTTAATGGATCTTGTACGGGTGGACTACTTGTCCATCTCCTCTTGTAATTCTGTGATTTTATTATACAGAATTGTAATGCAGGCTTGCTATAGAATTTTAATTTTTTAGTTTTAATTGTATGGAGGAAGATCTCACTTTCATGTTTATGTTCTTTCTTTGTTTAGATGGTCGTGTTGTTTGATATTATGTTCATTCCTATGGTTCGTAATACTTTTAGGTTTGTTTTTAACTTTTTATAACTTCTTTTAAAGATTTTTTCTAGCTACTATCCTCCGTTGCCTTTCTTGTTGTACTTCGGCTGTCTCCTGTAATGCTTGTTTTGTGCAGCCTTCTTTTGAATGCATTGGTTACCTTTTATTGACTTGCTTGACTGAATAGGATACCATTCAAGTAGCTGGTTCATCTTTTAGCTATCTTTTTTTCTTTTTTCTGATGATAACTTTTTCTCATTGGTGCCTAGATCGTCTTCCGCTCTGACTACCGGAAATTTAAGGGCTTAAAACATGAATGTGATGAGTTTCTTGAACGTGTTACATCTGATGAGTTTTTTCAACATGTTACGTCTGATACATTTTACAAATACATCACAAGCTCAGAAATTTTAGTTGGTAGTGTTGATGCCGTTAACTTACAACAGATTCTTGACCAAGGCTCTAACTGGCAGGTATACTTCTACCTGACTTGTAATGTGATGCTTGATAATAATCATTCTTTTCATTCTTGTTTTAAGATCTTGTGTTGTTCTTGGCTTACTAATTGTTTGTTATGTGCTTCTTATGTATATCTTAGAAAATGGCAACCGGTTTTATTGAACAACTATTATCAGATGAGTACCGTGAGTACACTGATATTGTTCAACCAGTTCTGGTTGCATTATATGAAATAAAATTGGGCTTGGGGCTGATTCTGGCAAGTGTCATGCAAAAAATGATCCTGACTAAAGTTGAGCTGGACGATGCAAATATGATTATGGTATGTCTTTATATTTTTTTTTATGATTTTTGGGCTTTCTAGTGCTGTCTTGTTGCTTTAAGTGGCTGACTAGGAGAATGTGGCAGGGGTCTATTTGTTCATTTATGAGATTCCCTCGAGTATCTGCTTCCAAGAGCATTTCTGTTAACTTAAACACTGGCTCAAGCAAATTTCCCTACAATTTAGAAATTCCTACAATCTTCAATGCTGAGGATATAAGTCTTCTCGAGAAGTTGATTACTTTTTCCAGTGGCGTTCTGACTAATAGAATGGTATAGTCTTTTAAATTTTATTCCCTGCAGGTTAATTCTAGAAATTTTACTCCAGTTTTTGGCATAATACTAAGACTGGTACCTGTTTTGCTACAGGTCTCTATTACACAACTTAAAACTACCCTGCACCGAAACATTCTTGTCCGTGTTTCACATTCTGTTGCTAATGCACGGCTGATGGATTATGCATCCTTTATGGTCTGTTTCTTTCCCATGGTCTTTGAAACCATATGAGTGAAATTTATTTTTGGAGTTATTGACGTCTGATAATACATTTTTTTTGTTCTGAATCAGCTCCTGGATAAGACATATAGCGAGATTACAGATCATTGGATGAGTATGAAGATTCAATCTAAAAACAAACAGGACTATGCTGCTTTGAAATTCAAGTTTAAGCCTCGTGCGTTTAAACTTGAGAGTATTATTGACCTTGATATATCGGCTCTTGGGAAGACATTAGCAAATCAAAGTTTTTTAGATTGGAAGGAATTTATTTCTGCAGATCAACATATTGAGGGGGTACTGTTTTTTTCTTTTATTAGCACAAAGTTTATGGATTTGTTCATTTTCCTGTGTTCTGGTTGCTAATTTCATATATGCATATGCTTCCTGTGTAGTTTATGCTTCTGTACTTTTTCCTGCTTTCATCATAAAGAAATTTTTTCATTCAGGAGGAAGCTCCGGAGGAACAAGAAGATTTGGACAGGGAATTGAAGTTCATGGAGGATTCCATTGTGAAGGACGTGGTCAAGACTCACAATCAGTTATTTGGGTCAAATAATCTTGTTCTAGCTGTAAGTTGTTTGTGAAACTTAATGGTTAACAACGTATTTTACTGCTGACATCTAGGGCTTTTTTTGGGTGGCTTTATGCAAAGAAATTTGTTTGATGCCAATTTCTTGGCTTGTGTAGTCGTTTGGGGGACATAGGCGTAATTAAACCATAAATAAAATCCAAAAGAGAAAAACAAAAGCTCTCAGCCACTTCTGTTTCACCCTAATTTTTCCTGGAGTGTTAGCCCTATTTTTAATCTTTCAACTGATTGATTATCATTGGAGTAATGGCCTCTTCAAATATTAACTTCGTCAATTCAAAGCCTAAGATATACCTGTTTTTGGTGAGCCATATATGGACCAGTTTGATTTTTTGTTTTCTAATTAAGTTGCACGTACTTGGTGTGTGATACCTATGACACGGTACAGAGGAGGAACCTTTATTGGATCCTTTCCACTAATGGTGTATGTGCTAAAGAGAAGTTGAATGCTTGAATCATTGGATGCTCCATTGTTCAGTTGTGTATTCATTGTGGATGAGGCTGTTCAGGAGTCCAGATTGTTTTGAGCAGTCCCAGAATCTTGCAATGCATTACTTTGTGAGAAACCTAAGTTTTTCGGGGGGAGGAAGAGGGGCATGGTACTAGGAATATGTTCTTTGTTGCCAAATTTTGGGGTTTGTTGTGTGGAGAGAAATAGGAGAGTTTTGGAAGGTGTTAGGGGGAGGATGTGGATTATTATTATATTTTTTTATATCCCTACCTTTTTTTTTTTGTTGGTATTTGGACCTTGTATATTTCCTTAGATATTGTTTCTTTTTCATTCAGCCGGGTGCTTTCCATGTCAATGATCTCGACAGAACACTTTCATTCACTGATTCACATACAATTGGAGTAGGGATGGTCAGAGGTAATTTTCTTTTGAAGATTCTCCTTTCTGGATGGATTCTTCTTTACTGTACCCTTTTTGTATGTTTATATTCCCTTTTATGTCCAGGTTTGGGGGGTTCATTTCTTTCCAGTTTGGATGCTATACTTGTACCAGAGAATTTGTTTCGTATTTGCGTGGAGCATGAGTGGAAGTTTGTTTCTTCTGACACATCAGCCCGTAAATACAATATTTACCAGGTTTGGAAACACCCGCACCCTAGTATGAAAATTTATGTTTAATCGCATAATATTATTAAATTGACTTCCATCGTTATTTTGTAGGACCCAAATGCTCCGAAGATGTATGAAATGGTGAAATTGCTTACTGCTCTTAAGCAGCAAATTCATTCCCTTTTAAATGCGTACGAAGAACATCATGAACTTCAGAGAATCTTAGATTCAGTTGAAATGCTTTTGAATATTCCCCTGAGCACGTCCCTAGCTAAGGTAAACTGGTTGTCTGTAAAAAATCAATTCACTGTTTATCTGGGTTTATTGTTGGTCTCCACATGCTTCTTGTCATGGAGCTTTTAGCAGCATATGTGTATGTGTGCATGGGCATGAAAGTACATGCATCTACAAACTTGCATGCACAGTTATTGTTGTTAAAAGTTATCTTATTGTGAAGACTCCAATATTCATCTATTTATTTTATTTCCCCTGCGAAGGCTCTGTCGGGATTGCAGTTTCTAATTAACAAACTCCGTTTATTACAAGAAAATGGCTCGCGCTTTGCTTTCTCTGGTAAGAGTTCTCATTCAACGAGCCTTTCTCTCGTGGTGGGGTAGGTGCATTTTTCTCTGCTTACTTTTTCTATGTCTTTTTATAGATCAAGTGAAGCCTATTTGGGATCTGGTGCTCTTGTGGCAGAGGATGGAGTTGGAGTCCTGGCCTGCCTTGCTTGATGAGGTTCAGGATCGTTATGAGATTAATGCTGAAAAGGTAAATCAAGGTTATTTGTATTTGTGAAATTTGTACTATCAGTACAAATTGGATTGACTGGGGCAGTGTTCAAAGTTCAGACTGTATGTGTAGGACTGGGAAATAGCAACAATAAAAAACAATACAAAACTTAATTAACAACATTAACATTGAAGAATAGGCAAAGAAAGTCTACATTGAAGAAACCTGACTTATTCAGGTCCTGTTTTTCATCATATCACTTATTGATTTAATTATGAAGTATACACATTCTAGTTAGGAAAGATGGATGCCTTTAGCTTCAGGGTGGACCCAACCTTCTCATAAGTAAACCCAACCCTTGAGTGAATTATAAATTCCCACTACAAGGCTAATGACATTAATAATAAAAAAACTACTTAAACAAATACTCTTTATACCAACCGACATCACTTGTCACTCCTCTCCTCCTAATAAGAACCCTAAACACAACTCCTATCATGTCTCTCTATACCCACCCAGCAACTTGTATCATTCCTCCCAGTAGAAACCCTACACTCATTAATCGGTTATTAAAAATCGCATGGTGTTCTGCATCCCCTATATAACCTTCAATAGTCACTAACCAAACAACATAAATCAAAATAATCTCGGTTTGTTCAGTGTTTGCCAACAGACCTTCTTTGAGTTTGGTGGCTTACTTCGGAACTAACTTCCTTGGTGTTCAACGAACCAGTGCCTAATACAGTGCTGAAAAGTTCAATTTTTTAACCATCTTTTCAAGACCCAGCACTTAAAATAAACACATGGGTATTGGTTAAGTGTTGAACATTACTTGAATGGTGCTTTGGCGGTGAGTGATCTTGGCTGTGAGGTGTTTTTCGGTGGTGGAAATGTGGGGTCTGAGTTTTAAACATTGATGACATCAAACAGATTTGGGAATGTAGGGATATGATGTGGTTAAGCATATATGTGTCAGTTGGGTTGGGTTTCAAGGATGTTATTTTAGAAAGATGGTACAGTTTACTTATGGAATGTGGGATTTCTAAATAAAATGGTGGGTGTAGATAGAATGATGGATTAACTTATGAAAAAACTGAGTTCAAATAAAGCACCCTTAGCATAATTGATTAATGCATTGATATTTTAGTTCATTTCTTTCATATGATAAACTGTGGTGCTTACTGTTATTGTCTTATTGCAGTTATGGTTTTCTCTTTATTCAGTTCTACGACATAGGCTTTCTTCTGATGTTGTTGAATACAAAAAATCTACTACCGAAAGGCATGTTCAAAAACTTTTTTTCTTGAATAAAATTTAGTGCTGGTTTATGTGGAACTTTGTGGTTTATTAGTGTTTAAAGTTGTGTGACACAAATACAACTTTGCAGTTTGGAGGAGTTCATTCATTCATCCAGCATTGGTGAATTTAGAAAACGCCTTCAACTTCTTTTTGCTTTCCTTGGCCAAATAAATACTGGTATAAGCCTACAGGTTTATTCAAGGTATGATCTTAAAACCATGATATACTTGAACATTCCAACCACTTAATAAAGTTTAATAGAAAGTTTGCACATCTTTTCTACTTTTTCCTGCTCAATCTTACTGGCATAAAATCCTCATAATGGTTTCATCCACACAGCGGTGACATTATGTAGTTCTTAGCTGTAATTGTTTCCATTTAAATATATATATATATATTTTTTTTTGTGTGTTGAGGCATACTAACTGTCAACAACTCATGCAGTGGTTGTGAGAAGAAAAATGTGAAGATTTTGTACAATGCGTTTGGATATTACGCACAATTCTTACCGGCGTAAGTTCAGTCAGCTCATAATGCTTTGTTTTTCTTCCCCCCCCCTCTTCTCTCTGTTTTTTCCGTTCACGAACATTGAGATATTGTAATGCTTTCATTCTAGAATTTTGGCGCACATGGATTCTTCTAGAAGAGATATTGAGATGGAACTCAAAAGAGTACTCAAACTGTGTCAGTGGGATCATCGCGAGAGTGCCATTGAAAATTTCACAAGTACAAGGCAGAAGCTGAGGAAAATTATAAAGAAGTACACAGTGAGTAATGTAGTATCTATTTTATTTCACAAATCAGAATAAAAGCAATCAAATAAATATCCAGAATGCCTACTAGTCATTCAGGTGATGTTCTTGAATGCTACATATATTGATACTTTCCTAATATATTCTGTGCAAGTGAACATATATTGGTTTGGCACTGAATCTGATAGGTGAGGCCACATAGGTTATTTGTGTAGTTCAAGGTCACAACAATGTTAACTAACTTCTGATTTTGAGAATATTTAAGATATGAAATTCCAATATCATATTTTTGGTTGACCTTTCAGTTCAAGGTCACAACCTTTGTCTCTGATGCTTTCCTCAAGATTTGTGTTTCTAAAATTTTAATATCCCATTTTCAAGTAATTTCTCTTCTTTGTATCTGAACAGACAGTTTTTGACTATAGCATGCCTGGTTGTGACTATAACATGCATGGTTGTCAGTTATGTGTTTAGTCCACATTTGCTTGGGGGAAGTAATAATATGCCTCTGTTCTTGTTCGTATAGGTGGTTCTGGAACAACCTGTAATTGTTTTCCTTGGCCAACATATCGTGAAAGGCGCTGAATCCCAACCTCAACAAGGTCAAAAGTTCTTCGTGGATGATGTGAACCGAAAAATAGGGACAATGGATGCTCCTTTTGATTTGACAGTGTTTAATGATGAAGACAGGTAAGTCTCTTTATTTACTAAAATCTTCGTTTTGCTTCATTCTTTCGTAAGAGTTCTAAATCAAAAACTGTGGCATGATCTATCTGATATAGGTGTATGTGGTACACTGGTTGGATAAAAGAAGCAGATGCTGCTCTGAAGAAGTTACGGCGTGACAGAACACTTGAATTTGGATATTCACAGTCCAAAAGTGCCAACAGTCTTTGCTCAGACGTTGCAGGAATATTAAGGCAATGCTCAGCTTCTCTGTCCGCTTATCCTCTATACACAGACGAATGGCATGCTGTGTGGCACACACTTCAAAATATCTTTGATGGTGCTGTGGATTGCTGTGATCTGTGGAAGGATGCAAGCAAGAGTCAAAAGAAAGGGCGGGCTTTTTCTTACCTTCTAAATCTTTTAAAAAGCAGTGGGTTGTCAAGGGACATATTTACTGAGGTATGAACATGCTTCTTCTTTAGAACATATTCTTCATATATCACCATATATAGCTGTGCTCAACTGAGTGACTACAAAAAAGTGTTGGATGAGCGCCTGAAAATAGATCCGATGGTTCTATTGTTAATTCTATAGCTATACAAATTACAATCACATATAAGCTAATTGCTGATCTTATACCAAATGGCTTCTAATAGGATGAAGTTAAATCTTGGTGGTTCGTTCATCCATCATATGATGTTCAGCATCTTCTGCTGACACAAAGTAGACTTCCCTACGGAGATTCTGATGCTGCCCTTCCTTTGACCCATCAAGATCTTGTTACTGAATGGAAAACAACCAATGAATACTACTTCAGTAGCATAGCATCTGTGCTCTTTACTCACAAACAGGTTAATAATAGCTAGATTTCAGAAGCAACCTTTACTTGTCAACTGAATCTTGTCATTTTTCTGTGACCACTGAGAGTTTGTGTTAATGTTATATGCTTTGCAGATTGGCAGGCCAGACCCTTTTCTTCACCAGCTCATCAAAATACAAAAAAATCAACATAAAGCTGCCAATAAATTTGCAGAGCAGTTGAGGGACTTGAAGGAATGCATTTCTACTTTGGAGAATTTGGATTCCACTGATTCTGAGGATAAAAGTGGCAATTGCTCTTTTGGTCAAAAGCAGCATGCCACCTTCAAATACATGTGGCAGCAGAAGGTAATTTTTAACGTTGGAATTTCACTTTTTATTTGAATTATATGGCTTTTCCTCACAGTTAATGGCAATGATGATTTTTTTGTTGTTGCAGCAACTATTTGATAGTTTGTGTGCCACTTCGCATGAAGAATTGTTGTTGTTAAAGACATTTGATAATACCCATTTAAAGGGTTGTCAAACTGTCAAGAATGAAGGAAATGAGTTTCTTGCTTCCATCGAGAAATTTATTCCAGTTCTACAGAAATCTAAGGTTTGTGTTTTTTGTTCCTCGTGTGTTCTACATTTCTACCCTGGATTAGGTAACCTCTCACACTACATTTATGCCCGACTCTACAACAGGAATCATTGGACAATTACCTTCTTGGTCCTGGTAGAGCTATAGTTACTCTTGCTGGCTCCTCGCAATGCGTTCTTATTTCAAAAGACATGGAACAATTGGTGTCTCAAAACTTCGAGGTTATAAAGGAGTTTGAGGAGCATCTTCTTGCTTTCCATGCGAAAGATGTGGATAAAAGCTCTGTTGAAGATATTTTGCTTGGTCATTTTGTAGATATACTTGAGAAGGTATCTCTGGCTTTGTACTTTAATATTGTTAGTATAGAAGTGTGCAATTGATTCTGTAGCTGTTGTGGAGGTGTATTATTGAAATATGATGGAGATTTCTTGGCAAATGTTTTTAGGCTTTTTGGTTGACTTAAGTTGAATATTTTTCTTTCTGGATTTTCCAGGGGAGGTCAATGGAAGTGGAGTTCAATTCAGTGATGGATGAGAAAAATGTGTCAGTTGGTGAACTCGAAAATGCATTTTGGGAAGCCCTAAGAAGTACATTTGAACATATCGTGGGAGCAATGCAAAAATTAGGTTCACCAAGTAATGACCATGTTCATCCAGACAAATTGGGGCAAATTACGTCCTGGGAAAAAGTATTTGACTCATTTTTGAAAAATCTGAGCTTGGACGATTTACGCAATAAGCTTCTGAGGACAATCTTTTATGCTGTGAGTTTTGTCATATTTATATATTTTTTATTTTTCACTTGTGTATGAATACACAATAAATTAGCTATTGTTCTGTGCTCAGGGAGAACTGGTGAATCATTGCGGTGGAAATTCTCTGAGTCTTTTACTCAGAATTGAAGCACATTTTAAACATCTATGTAGGTGTTTGGACATCTTATTGAACTTTGGTCATGCACTGATGAAAGAACTTTTAGCTATGTGCAAAACTGTAAGTCGTTTTCTCTCCATTTCAATCATGGGTATATCCTTAGGTGCATCTTTGTCATCTCTCATTCCTTTTTCTTTTCGTGGGTTGGTGGGGCAGGGAATGGGAATGAGGAACTAAAGTTACATCCAGTTGCCCCCATTCCCATCAAACCTTATTTTCATTATCCGAAAATTGGGTTTGAAAGGTTTTCTCTGGTGATTCTTATGTCTCAAGGATATCTGTGTGTCTGTGAATTCTCTTTTCTTTCTGTGATCCTTCTCTTTACCAGTCTCTGTACTGAGATTTTACATGGACGTGGTAATCTAATTCTTCTCCAAGTGAGTTTTTCATCGCTTTACAACCAGTAGTGCTACTTCCAAACAGAAATAATCCACCATGCCGCTCTCGGTTCTTTTGCCCTTCCGGACATCTTCGCCTCTCTGCCTCCTCTCTGCCATGAAGGCTAAATTTATTACTGACCATTTTAACTGAGCAACAAGACTTGCATGCCATTTTGTATAAGCTGCAGAGGTGGAACTTATAGGCCATTCCAGCTGTTATAATTATGCAATATTGAACAGAAGTTGCCAGTTTCAAATTCAGTGTGTTGAACATTCACTTGGTTATGTATAGGAAATTAAATTATTCTTGTTAGTGATTCTTGAAATTTGTATAGTATATTATGTCTTCATAAATGTATATTTATGTGCAGGTATCTTTAATAATTCATAAGCTTGCAAACATTTTAGCTTTATATTCGAAGGGATCTGGGATTTCTAGTGAAGACAAAGAGGATGATGCTACTGGTGAGTCTCAAGATAAAAAAGGAACAGGTATGGGGGAGGGTGTAGGACTGAATGATGTCAGTGATCAGATTACCGATGAAGATCAACTTCTTGGAATATCTGAGAAGGTATTGATTTGAGAACATTGAAATTTCCAACCAACTTATCATGCGTTATATCATGTGGCAATTTGTCACAAGATGTCACTAAATTTTCTTTTGCATGTATCTGCAGGCCAGCGAAGAACAAGATGCCTCAGGTGAAGTCCCAAGTAAAAATGATAAAGGGATAGAGATGGAGGAGGATTTTGCAGCTGATACATTTAGTGTCAGTGAAGACTCTGAAGATGATGCAAATGAAGATGATGCAGATGAGCATTTAGAATCTGCAATGGGAGAAACAGGAGTTGATGGTGAAACTGTTGATGAGAAACTATGGAATAAGGATGAAGATGAAAATCTCAATAATTCAAATGAGAAGTATGAATCTGGGAATTCAATTAACGATAGGGATGCAAGTTCTAGGGAGCTTAGAGCCAAGGATGACTCTGCTGCCGCGACCAACGAGCCTGGAGAGCTTGATTTAAATGAAATTGATGAAGATAATGGTGAGGTTGGAAGCCAGGATGATCTCAATGATGTCGAGAATGTTGAGGACATGAACCTGGACAAACAAGAAGCAGTTGTAGATCCTACAGGATTAAATCCCGATGATTTGAATCAAAATTCTGATGAAACTATGGAGTTGGATGATCCTGAAATGCATGATGAGCATGTGGGGAATGAAGACCCTGAAGAAGAACAAGCATTTTCAACTGATGAAACCATGGGAGAGGCAGAGACAGAACAAATAGATGCAACTCCTGAAAGGGATGACACAAGTAAGGATCATGAAGATAATCCTGAGATAAATTCAGGATTAAGTAAGGATGTATTCGAACTGGGAGTGTCTGACTCAGTGCGTGATGATGTGCCCAACACAGAACCTTCGACACAACCTAAGAGTGACTTGAAGGCATCAGATCCAAGCGATGTAGCACCAGAATCAAACTGGGCAAATAGCAATGATATTCATAATGAGCTTACTCCTATGAGAGGTTTACCTTCCACAAATACGTCAGAGCTGGATATGATGATTTCTGAGGCATCAGATAATGGTAAAAATGTTGCTGAGCAACCAAAAAGTCAACTTCCTAGGCAAGAATCTTCATCTGAGAGGAAAAGCAAACCAAACCCTTACCGTAGCGTTGGGGATGCACTCAAGGAGTGGGAGGAAAGAGTTAGAGTGTCTGTTGATCTTCAGGACGGTGACGTGGAGCCACAAGATGAGATCAAGAATGAAAATGCGGATGAGTTTGGATATGTTTCTGAGTATGAAAAGGGGACAGCTCAGGCTTTGGGACCTGCAACATCTGAGCAGATTGACAAAAATGTAGATGGTAATAAGTCCAATGCGAGTGAAGATGATCGTACAACGCATAAAGATGGCCTTGTTGACATGGAAATTGAGAACAAAAAATATGAAGCACAGCCTAGCAGGAGTCGTGCTTCAATGCTCCAAGATAAGATAGAGGATCAGATGCATCTTTCTGGTATAGAAAAATTGCCAGGCGATGAGTATCAAGATATTCATAGCCGTCATGATGGTGATCCTGAAAGCATAGTAGAGGATGTAGTCTCTGTGAAGACGTCCTACTTCAGTGATGACATGCATAAGCTCAGTAAACTTTCTGTAAATGACAGTGACATGGGAAAAGCACAAGGTGCTGGCGAATTTTCTGATGATGTTGTGGGCAATGCTACTGTTCTCTGGAGAAGATATGAGCAAACCACAACAAGATTGTCCCAGGAATTGGCTGAACAATTACGTCTTGTCATGGAGCCTAATCGAGCCAGCAAGCTTGAAGGGGATTATAAGACTGGCAAGCGGATTAACATGAAGAAGGTAAGATGCAAGATAATCCAGTGTGACCACTTCAATTTTTGTGAACATATTTTAATAAGTTTTCCTTGTGATGTAAAATTTCTTAGGTGATTCCATACATGGCCAGTCATTATCGGAAAGATAAAATATGGCTGAGACGGACCCGTCCTAACAAACGTGATTATCAAGTTGTCATTGCTGTTGATGATTCCCGTAGTATGTCTGAGAGCTGCTGTGGTGATGTTGCTATTGAAGCTTTGGTAACGGTATGTCGTGCAATGTCCCAACTAGAAATGGGCAACCTGGCTGTTGCAAGCTTTGGAAAGAAAGGTAACATAAGGTTGCTACATGACTTCGATCAACCTTTTACTGGAGAGGCTGGAATCAAGGTCAGTGCCCTTAATATCAGTAAATAAATAACATCATAGATCCTTATTTTCATATTTCTATTCAGTAGTTATTCTGCCCCATGGTATATAGCATCTAAAGTGTCTTGCTGATTGTTGTGCAGATGATCTCGAGTTTGTCATTCAAGCAGGAGAATACCATTGCTGATGAACCAGTTGTTGATCTTTTGAAGTATCTAAACAACAAGCTAGATGAAGCAGTTGCAAGAGCACGACTACCCTCTGGATGGAACCCACTAGAACAGCTCGTTTTGATTATTGCAGATGGTCGTTTCCATGAGAAAGTAACTTTCTATTTCTTTTTAAAGTGGCCAAGGGGCTGTTGTTGCTGCTTGTCTTCAGTTTTATTGTTTTCTTTGTATTTAAATTTTCATCTTTGCAGGAGAACTTGAAGCAGTGTGTTAGGGATGCCTTAGCTAGGAAACGTATGGTTGCATTTTTGCTTCTTGATAATCCACAAGAGTCCATAATGGACCTCATGGTAATTCTCCATACTTTCTTTTTAGGGTTAACAGCCATTTTACTCCCTGACCTATCACGCAACTGTTAATTTCCCTCTAGGATTTTTTAAGATATATTAAGGACTAGAACTATATAAAATGGCTGCTTACCCTTCTTTTAAAGTATAATATCTGTAAATTTCCTCTTTTTTGTTTTGTTGGAAAAGTGGATATCTAATTCCAGGATTTTCTTTCGTGCAATGCGTCTTTGCAGGAAGCATCTTTCGAGGGTGGGAATATTAAATTTTCGAAGTACATGGACTCTTTTCCTTTCCCATTCTACATTGTACTAAGGAACATTGAAGCACTTCCTAGGACTCTTGCTGATTTACTGAGACAGGTAAGCACATTGCATGCCCGCTTCTGTTTGACCCCGAAATTTAAAAATAAAATAAAACCTTGTTGCTTTTCTATTATCTGAAATCTTTGACTTGCTGTTTGCAGTGGTTTGAGCAGGCATGCAAAAATACTTGAGTGGCTTAAAGGTCATTTTCCATAGAATCATAGCAGGTTAACTGGAGAATGAGGACGATGCTTATTGGTAGCCAAAACCATAAACGGTAGATTTGTTATCCCAAGTATAGAAACTTGTATAGTGAAACACCCAACAAAGGGGAAAACTTGTACAGGAAACAATTACAATCCTCCTCATCAATGAAGATCTACAAGTTTTGTATTCTTGCCCTTTTTCTAAGCTGAATAAATAAATAAAAATCATTCTTTATTGTTTTGTTGTGCTGAGGATATGTTCACCAGCCAGGTTTTTTCGACGTTTTTTCTTCCATGTCTAAAGTATGGCATTAGGAGATAAATTGTCGAATTCATAGCAGAGGATGCTATTGACCAAATGCAAGTGACCATAGAATTATTTCATGCTTATCTTGGTCTCATAATAATGGGCAAAGTGACCAGCTGTTTTCAACAGTCGCCTGGTTATAACTCCTTAAAAACTAAGTTATACCCCACTGACTTCGGTGTACCTTTTATTGATGTTATACCCTAAAACATAAGCATGTCAACGTGTTAAACGGTTTCTCACCGCAATGAATATGAGGCAGGATTGAAGGCCATTAAATCCCAGAAATATAAAAAGGAAGGTTACTGTGGTTTCAATGACTGATGAGTTTTGCCTGGCTATCTTGATTTAACCACAGCCCTTTTGCCAAAACAACCCCAATCAGCTGAAGTGTCTAATTCAGTAGTGCACAGTTTTTTATCTCTCATCACTTGATGAGTTACGTGATTAATCCGTATGTACACTCTCTCCATCTCCATCTCTCTTTTTTTTTTTTTTTATAAACATCTTCATCTCTCTTATCATGCGAAATTATGAGACAAAATAAATAGAAAGATAAGATTAACTAGATTTTTTATTATTTGCAAAAAAATCTAGAGGATTTGTCTGGGCCATGGTTTCTCTTTTTGGATACATTTGATTTGAATTTTTTTTTTTTTTCGAAGGAATTTGGCGTGTTGAATAATTACACGATTTATTTGGAAGCAAATTGCTAAAGTGTAATTAGCAAAGAAATTTGTAGGGAGTAAGGGACCCACGTACATTAAATAGTTATTTTCTTTTTCCAAAATGGATAGGATCAGAGACACGTCATCCACTGTCGCTCGGGCAACCCAACTGAACATAACAAAACAAAGCAAACACCTATAAATCGCCACCACCCTAAACCCTAATCCATAACCGACACGTGTCAGTTCCTCCTCCTTGTTTAGCCGCCGCCTAAAATAAGACACCCCATATTACCCACCATTTCCCTCCCCCTCTCTCTCTCCTCTCTCACTGTCTCTCTCTCTCTGTTTGATGTCCATCGGAACGCTAGCTTGCCCCGGCGAGCTTTTCCGGCTACCGATGATCTCTTTCCGGGTAAGATTCTTCGATACGCTTCGTTCTTGTATCTAAAAATGTTAGATGCATTCGGTGCGGTTCTTGTCCGATCCAAGACCTGGTTCCACAGGAGGAAAAAGACGCTGATTCGTTGATATCGACCCCTTTTAATTATGGAACTTATCAAATCTGTATCATATTTGAAGGCTTCAATACTGTACAGCAAGCGCAAGTAGTTTTTATTTTTTTCGATTTGTAAATTTTGTACAGATAGGGTTTGTAGATATAACTGGTGCGAGACTGGAGGAGATTTTGGATTTGAACGTTGAAATTTGTGAAGTTTTGAGGGGTTAAAAGGTTATTTGGAGGTAATTGGGGTCTGGGTTCAATCGAATTGTGTCAAAGTTGGGAAATTTGAGTCGTTGAGAAGGTGGCTAAGATGAATTTGAGCACTGCCGAGGAAGAATCGGCGCAAGAAATTCATATTCCCGCTGAAATTGATTGGCAAATGCTTGATAAATCCAAGTTCTTCTTCCTCGGAGCAGCTCTTTTTTCGGGTGTATCGGCGACTCTTTACCCTGTTGTGGTGTTGAAAACCCGGCAACAAGTAGCTCAATCCCAAGTTTGTTGCCTCAAAACCGCGATTTCAATGGTTAGGCACGAGGGTTTTAGGGCATTGTACAGAGGATTTGGGACTTCTTTGATGGGTACAATACCTGCCCGGGCGCTGTACATGGCAGTGCTTGAGGTAACTAAGAGTAAAGTCGGAACTGCCACGATTAGGTTAGGTTTTTCAGAGTCCACGGCAGCTGCCATTGCCAATGCAGCTGCAGGGTTGAGTGCAGCAATGGCTGCACAGATTGTGTGGACTCCAGTTGATGTTGTGAGTCAGAGACTCATGGTGCAAGGTGGTGTGAAATCAAGTTCCAAATTTCCTAATGCATCTGATTGTAAATATGTTAATGGGATCGATGCATTCAGGAAAATTATTAAGACGGATGGGCCAAGAGGATTGTATAGAGGATTTGGGATATCTATTTTGACATATGCACCATCCAATGCAGTTTGGTGGGCATCTTACTCTGTTGCTCAAAGAATGGTTTGGGGTGGAGTTGGGTATCATTTTTGTAAGAAAAGTGATGAAAGCAATGAGGATGGGGTTACCACATATACACCGGATTCAAAAACAATAATGGCAGTTCAGGGAGTCAGTGCAGCCATGGCGGGCGGCATGTCAGCCCTAATCACAATGCCCCTCGATACGGTTAAGACAAGGTTGCAAGTTTTGGATGGGGAGGACAATGGCCGGCGTGGACCAACAATCGGACAGACTGTTCGGAATCTGGTTAAGGAAGGTGGATGGACAGCTTGTTACAGAGGATTGGGGCCGCGGTGGGCTTCAATGTCGATTTCTGCAACCACAATGATCACCACCTATGAGTTTCTCAAACGGCTCTCCACAAAGAACCAAGAGGTTTTGACATGATAAACAAACATGTCGATTTCTGCAACCACAATGATCACCACCTATGAGTTTCTCAAACGGCTCTCCACAAAGAACCAAGAGGTTTTGACATGATAAACAAACATGTCGATTTCTGCAACCACAATGATCACCACCTATGAGTTTCTCAAACGGCTCTCCACAAAGAACCAAGAGGTTTTGACATGATAAACAAACATGTCGATTTCTGCAACCACAATGATCACCACCTATGAGTTTCTCAAACGGCTCTCCACAAAGAACCAAGAGGTTTTGACATGATAAACAAACAGTAGAGGAGATCTTTGTTTATTCCTGTTTTATTTTCTGTTAAGTTGTCTCTGTTGTTTTCTCTTCTTCCATTGCAATTTGCAACCAAGAAGTTGTTTCTGTTTTTGTTCTTTCTTACCTGCACACACTTGGTTGATCAAATGTAATACAATGCAGGAGTAAATATGTTATTTTCAATATAGATCTTATGCAGAAGTTGAACCTCTGGTTTATGCAGTACATACAGTAACGTAACATATATGAGATTTAATGTAGAAGCTTTAGATTTTTCGAAGATTGCTTGGTTTGAAAATTCTTTACTCTAGTGTAACTTAGACTCTACCCAAAGTCCTCTGCTTTTGATATGTTAATTGGATTGGTCTTAAATCTCAACCACATCCACTAGTGATAGTGTGACACATAACCACTCTGTACCTTTTATCTTTTTCATAATATTTGTAATTAAAGAGCACATGCGAGTTAGTGGAGGAAAGCTCAAACAATTGCATTTGGTTTGGATGTGATATGTTTTGGATAAGTCTAATATAAAATGGTGGGGTTAACACCCTAATTTGTAATCATTGAGGTGTTAGTTGAGGTCTTTGGTGTGTTTTTAAGTGCTCCTTGGTTCAAGCTCCTATAATATATAGATTTTTATATTCTCGATTCTATAGTTGTGATTCATAATTTATGTGACGAATCTTTTTCCAATGGGAACCAACTTGGTTCTTGTGTTTTTCTTTATAAAAAACTTGTATTATTAATATATTTGTATGCGCATCCGGATTTGGATGATTATTTAACGCATGTGCTGGACTTTGTAGTAGTTGTTGAGGTTTGTGAAGCTCTTATAATCCGTTCGGAGATATGTGCTTTTGCAAGTGGTTGTTTTATATCACAATCCATCCATCTTTTGTAGTTAGAATGCTGATGATGATCTGTTTCTGACTTTGTGGGCACGCTTATAAGAAATTGAAAGTGCATGAGAAAATCATATTTGATTATAAAATTTTAATGATACGTCGTATGAATTTTGATGACAAGCATGTGATATGGTCCATCTTCTGTTATAATCTTTTTGTAAGGTAAAAATCAAAGCATGAAACGACAAGTCAGCATGAAAAAGCACACATAAATTGCAAAAAGAGACACAACAAACTTGCTCATGGCTCATATTAGGAGCATTGTTGTATACTATTGAATGAGCCAAATAATTTTTCAAAAGACAAATCTCTTATTGTTTCGGTCAAAAGAAAAACTGGGAAAAAAAAAATCATTTAACACTGCTCGTTGGAAGAAAAAATAGTAATAATTAAAAAAATATATATGGCATCTTATATAAGAGCATCACTAGTGGGAGGGTGTATTTTAGGGGGTGTCAAGCCACTTTTATATCGCCTTTACACCTCCGGGGGTGTAAATCCGTTTTTTGCTCTAATGGGAAACGATGTAAATCCAAAGATGCATATTCGATTTGTTTGTGATAATTCATTTTGTGTTTTAACTTTTTTAAATTAATTTTGTGTGTGTTAGATTTATTTTATTTTTCCAAATAAATGGACCTAAAAAAATTTAAATTTGGAGAACATATGATTTTACCTAAAAACTAACATAAAAATATCTATGTAGAAATTTATAATTTATTTTAAACATTTTAAGGTATTTTTTCTAATATTTCAGACCATTGGAAGTGCAATGCAAATTGCATGAAATCTAGGCCTTCCATTTTTAATTCCACTCCATCTCATCCATTCATCGTAGAGCTGTTGGGGATTGCAGCGCACCACTTGGTGTGTTGACATCAAGCGGGGCCCTCGACATAATTTTGTATGGCATCTGAAGAGGGATTCCAACCTTCTCTTTCCCTTTCTCCTGTGAGTCCCGCCTTATGTTAAAAAAGATGTACATGTGCATTTAGTGGTTGGGGATTGCAGCGCACCACTTGGTGTGTTGACATCAAGCGGGGCCCTCGACATAATTTTGTATGGCATCTGAAGAGGGATTCCAACCTTCTCTTTCCCTTTCTCCTGTGAGTCCCGCCTTATGTTAAAAAAGATGTACATGTGCATTTAATTTTGCATCTCCACAGCTGTGATGCATTTTTACAACCATTTACACCTGCCCATTGAAGGTGATTCCGGCAACAAAGAGTGTATAATTAGCATACACTTGGCTTTCCACCCCCCACCCCCAATTGGAGATGCTCTAACTGGTGAATGGAACGCCCGGTCTCATAATGTTTGTTATGTGATTAGTTACTGCAAGAATTAGATTAAATACATCCGTTGTATGCAAGAATTTGTAAGCCCCCGTTGGTTTTTCTGATAACTATTAACCACATCTAAGGTCATATGCCGATTCACTTGGGGCATGTTTACTAATCAAGAATCGGAGTAACACATGAATTAGAGTAATGAGAAATCGAGGTAAGCATAAATCGAGTTAACCAAGAATTAGAATCATAATAACCATGAATCAGTAGTGCCATGGGGTAAAAGACCCTTGTAAGTAATAACCACATCCAAGGCCATTACCGAATCACTTGCTTCAAGAAAAGAAACAATCGTAACATAATGCCTCGTTCCTTTTACCATAGATAATAAATAATAAATAACTGTTCAATTAAAATTCCGTGTGAAAACAGGATTGTCCACCTTTCATGAAGGAGTTTTAATTGACACTCAAAAAAAATGGAGGATGTTTAATACTAAGAATTACTTGGATAGATATATGAAAAGAGTCGCAAATGTTTCGTAGGAGACTAGAAAGAAAAGAAGAAAATCTGTCACTAAACGTAGCCTGGAAGAGAACCACTAGAAGCAAATTATAAAAGCAGGTTACAAATAGTCTTAAACAGATCAGATTTTAGAGAATAAACTTATAAGAGTATTTATCAAGCTACTGGGTGTTCAATTTTAATCAGGCCTAGCTCTCTTGTTGTTGCATGAAGGGCATTTGTACTGCTTAATCTGTTTTGCTCTTGCAGGGGTTATCTTCACGCACTTCATATGGAACCATGTCTCACAGAAGTCACAAAAAATCCAGGGTTCATCTAATGAGGATGGCCCGCCTCCACCACATGCCCCGCATGTCTCTTCACGTTCATCTTCCTCCTCTTCGTCCAAGCCCTCGTCTTCGTCCTTTGGCTGCACCACTTCTGAATGTCTTCCCTGAGATTCTGATCCTCGCTGCTTTTTTGTGACAAAAATAAGTAAATCAAATTGTTGCCATCAAATATTAGAATTGAACTCATTTAAAATCCAGGGTGACTGGTAACTCCACTGAGCCACAAACAGATTCAGATTTTAATGATGAAAAAATACCACCAAAAATTGAATCTTCACGTTTCAAATGCAGGACAATGCCTCTTTCATTTGAGGTGACATATCAATAGAACCCATTATGTGCAAATTCCATGTAATCTTTTGCATTGCCAAGATTTACCCATTTTATGTAATTTTCTTGAAACAAAAGTACGCATGGAAAGTAATTTTTACCGCTTTGGAGTTCGACTTGGATTTGTTGCTACCATGATTTGAAGATGACTTCTCTTTTACTTGTTTTTTTGCAGTACCAGTCACAACTTCAAATATTGTTGGAAGTTCATTAATCATATTAAAAAGTCGCTTCCTGCAACAAAAGAAAAACAACAATATATTTAACAGAAGCCCACAACCTCATGTTTACCAATGTGAACACAAAAAATGAACTTTACTGACAACCATGCAGCGTCTGATCAAGATAAACTCTACAGATTGGTTGCAACTTACCTGTCAGCCTTATCGAACCCAAATCTGGCACCAAAGTAGAAGGCAACAGAAACTAGCCATGCATCGCTATGAACAGCAACCAAAGATAGCCAGTCTTTTTCTTGCATACCATCTCTAGCAAAGTTGATACCAAGTGCAGGCTCTGGCAGTTCTGGAGGCACTTCTTCAGCAGGTAGGTTGACTTCCCATTGCTCACTAGGATATCCATATAAGGAAAGATTCTCCTTCTCTGTAAGAAGAAAATAGCTCATAAAGACTGCTTGAAACAGACAGCAAAAACATAGCCACAAATAGGAAGTGACACCAAAAAATGACAACTGACTGGGAAACCCTTTTTTTATTATTTTTTGGCCAGAACTGGGAGCCCCTATTAGATACAGCTTTAATTGTCAAACAGCTCTGAACATCAAAGTATCACAGAGCAAGCTTTGAAAAGATTTTATGAGGCCTTGAATTTATATGAAGGTTCAACCATTCAAAGAAAATAATTATCATTGATTCTGAGAAACCATTAAATTCATTAAAACAATAATGCACAAACATTATATCATAATAACAACAATGATCATCATTGTCATCTTGACTTCATAACAACCTTGTCCAGGATGCAACATCGCTAAACAAAAAATAGATTATTCTCCTTTGACTACAGCTCTAAAGAAAATTATATAATTCATAACACAACACAAGCAAACATGCAACATTGCATTTAGACAAACCTGGGACACACAGCATGCACAAAAGACAATTAGCTTTTCTTCTTGATTCTCAAAATCATATTACATAGCTGTTTCCCAGTATAGATTATTTCATCATTTAGAATGAACTCAATAACACCATGATTTAATCACAATTTTCAAAAACAAATAATCGACCAAAGAAATTCTTACTAAGCTATGGTCATTTTTAGCTTCTTGTTTTTTCTTTTTGTCTTTTGTCGATAAGTGACTTCACAAGCAGCTCCATTAACTTATTTGAACAGAGGCTCCTATATAGAACCTTGAACATGCTCATAACACAAGAGTGCAAACAGCTATTGTCGATGACCAATATATTAGATTCCTGAAAGAATGTAATGACAACCTAGTTGAACATGCTCATAACACAAGAGTGCAAACAGCTATTGTCGATGACCAATATATTAGATTCCTGAAAGAATGTAATGACAACCTAGTTAAGTTCCAAATTTGTTACAGACCTCTCATTTACAGCCCCAAAGGAATAATTTATACATAGCACACAAGCTATTCTAAAAGTGGAAGCCAAGTTTATGAAATAAACTTATAAAGCATACAGGACTTACCAGGATCGCACATCTGAAAGAACTTTTCAACATCTGCAACAAAAATCTAAAACATCAGCAACAACTAAAGCTCCAACAAACTTTTCAAAATCACCTCAAAAATAAAACTAGAGTGGCACGACAAAAAACTAAAACACATACAATTTACTTATGTCATGGCTCTCCATTCAACTGATCTCAATATGTTAATCTAGTACAACAGTATTCAAATCTAGGTCTTTACATTTATCTATTTTGTATCCCTAAGTTTTCTTCACATCAAAATAGAGGTTCTTTAAATCAAAAATAAAAAGAGTAAAGTGGACATATTCATTCATTCCTTGATTCATGAGAAAAAGAGTAACATATAATCAAACTCAAAATTCCCAATATTAAGTTCTTCTTTTTTAAAACAGCTAATGGCAAATTATCCTCCAAATAATTAAGGAACAAATATCAACTCCAGTTTAGAAACCTTCCATTTTCACACTAACTAAAAAGCACTGTCATTGAATTTTCTCAGTTTACAAAAAATGGGGCCAAAGCACTACGAAAATAAATCATTTCCCTTCTGCTCCTCAATCTGCTCTAAACAGAGATTGCATGAACAACAAAACAATTAAAGACAGGCCCCTTTTGCAGCTTTCTCGCAGAAGCTAAAGATTAATCAAATAAAACCACTTTTCCCCATTCCAAAACAAAGAAAAACATCTAATTGAGAAACATTTTCTTCGGTATACCTTCATTTACTCCCAAAACAAAGACATGAAAGAATTTCCAACGTAATAATGGAATTAAACACTAAATACATGGTAGTGAAACTAAATTAGTGAGAAAACAAAACATAAAACACGAACTCGTCAGAAATTTTCTTCCAAATCACAAACGAATATAACAACCCTACATGAAGTATCATTTTAGCTTCTCTTCTCATGTAATTCATCTGAAAACCAAACACCAAAGCTATAAAACAACTTAGAATTCCAAAATCAAAAGAATTTTTTATACAAACCTCAACGTGCTCAAAAACCAAAAACGCAGAATAAATATGAAAGCAAAGGGCATAATTCCATTCATAAATGAACTTTAAGCACTCAATTTACCAATTTTCTACCATTTCTCTTCTTTAGTTTTCTCAGAAACCAAACAGAAAAGAGAAATGAGCCGAACCCTATTCAGAAGGGGAACAAGGGTGAATTCCCTACCATTTCCTACTGGTAAACAAAACACATTATTCCGAACCCAAAACAACATTAACCGCTAATATTCATAATTTACTGTCCTTTTTCTTTCTAGATTTTCTCTGAATCCAAACCCAGAAGCTAAAACCAGTAAGGTACGTAAATATCCAATTCAAACTCAATTCAACAAAGAAACAAAGCGACGACCAAAACACAAGACCAATTTCCAAATCTCAAATCAATATAAGCCCACTAATCAGTGAAAAAACACCAAATTCCTTTCTGAGCTTCCTCAAAAACCAAAGTAACCTAAATTAGTAACAAATGAAGAAAAAAAAACAAAAAAGAAAAAGACAGAGAAAAAGACCAGAAGTGAGAGCCTTGATCATGCCAGCTCGGCGGCCCTTAAAATCTCTGAAAACCTCCTCGACTGTGCGAGGATTGTAGAGTGCGGCATCAGCTCCCTTCATTGCTCTCTCTCTCTCTCTGTGTCAGAGAAAACCAAGTCAAAAACTCAATGAGAGAGAGGGAGAGTATACGAAGGTGTTAAAAGAGGAATTACAATTTTGGTCCTGGGGTTCGTTTTAATTTTAATCTTTATTCCCTCTTGATATTTGCAGTTAGATCCTTATATAGTTCTATATTTACCTTTTATCTTTTTTTTCGAGAACTCATTCTGAAATTTGAATCTCCTAACAAAATAGAGACACTACCGAACCAGCTAATGACCAATGATCACTTAACAAAATAAAACTCTCTCTTAAACGGATTCGGATCAAAATCTGATCCATTAACAACTACTAATGAGTGTCCGAGTGACTATACTATCTTAGTATTCTATAATTTCTCCATTTACTGACCATATTACTAATCACTTCTCTCCGTCAGATATACACTAATAGGGCCCACCTCTATTAGAGAGGTGGTCAACAAGTTCAATAAATATAGTATAAATAATATTATTGATGAGTACCCATTATCTACCCCTACCTGGCAATTAGGTTATGGGGTTAATCCATGAACGACACCGTGACATGGTTTTCCTTGGCAAACAGAGATTTTTTTTAAAAGTAAAAACTTCTGTAATAACAATATTAAAATTTAAAAATAAGAGTGGGAGAAAATGGGAGTGGAAATAATTTAATTAAAGAAAAAGACTAACAGTTGTCATGAAGGTAATTGGTAGTTCATATGGAAAGAATGTGATTGACCACCTAGCAGTTATATGATACTGCTACTTGCAGCCTTGCAGGCAGGATGTAGTTGCATGCATGAACTGTGTTCTGCTAGAGCGCATCATCAAGGTTCATTTTAAAGCCATGAAGGAACCTTAAATAATTAATCAGATCAATTATTATTTTTAATTTCCTTTCTGGCATTATTTGCTTGGAAATCCGGAACTAGCACTTTTACTTTGAGCAATCAATAGAATTTTCAAAACCAAGGTTAGTTTTCTGCACAAACATAATTTTTCATCACTTACAGAAACTTTTAAATCCAAGGTCAATTGTCTGCACAAATACGCAGATTATTCATCACACCCAAGAGTAATTATGTTCTTGTCACCATGTATCAGTTAACCATAGTCCATCAGGAATGCTTGTGTTTGCCCAAAAACTAAATATAAAGGTTAACAACTAGAAAAAGGAAACTTCAACAGAGACGAGGATGACTTCCCGAAGGAATTCGAAACGTAACTGAGCCGAGGATGACTTCCCGAGGGAATTCAAAAGGAAACTTCAACAGAGCCAAGGATGACTTCCCGAAGGAACAATAGAAAGGAACTTTAACAGAGCCAAGGATGACTTCCCGAGGGAACATAGCAGTCGTATTCTCCAACTGAACACTGAACACTGACTGCTATGGTGATTGTTCACCGGAGGAGGGAAATATGGTGCTGGTTCCCACCACCACGCACATCAACAAAGGGAACTTGCATGGTCCCACCAATGTGAGAGGGGTAGCCAGAGAACCTGAAATCTTGCCGTGGAAAGATATTATCACTGTTGGAAGTGCTTGTGACTTCAGAGCAAGAAGTAGTGGAAGCGCCATCTCTATAGTTGTCAGGCTCATTAACTTCGGATTCGGACATATTTCTGGTCAAATGTAGCTGAGCTGAGCCTGAAACATCCACTCTATGGTTTGTGGTATTAGGCTTGGAATCTTGGACCTTCTTCATGTTGAGAAAGCGCCCACCAGATCCTCTAGCCCTCTTTAATGCATGAACATGCCGAGATTCGTGAAGATAGGGCTGCACATATTTCAGAATGGCCTTAGAGAAAATGCTTTTGTCAGTCAAAAAAAGTACAAGTCTCCTTAACATAAAGCCCTGCACAGAGACATTTACAAATCAATAAAAAAAACTTCACATACCTTACGAATTTTGATGAGTTTGTTCTGAGCTTCAAGCTTGGCACGATATTGTCTCCTCCTTAGGATTGCACGATACTGTTTTGCATTTACATAAATGGGTTCATCTTCTGTAAGATCAAGAGGCAAGGGAACCCTAGCAGGAGTAATCCCCATCACCTGGGGATGATGAATCTGGAGACATTTAAATGATGAATATCTCATAAAATGGAAACAGAAGAGGCACATTCTTATGCAAAAACCACCAGATGTGGTCTATTTTTATAAATCTTCAGGTCATGGTTCGATTAAAGGGCAAAAGAATCAGAATCTATATCAAACCCACTAAATTGTAGAATCCACAAGGTAGAACCACAGAAGAGATATAATATAATATCTTATAAAACTTTTGTATTTTGATCCCAACAATAATAGGTCTTCAAGATTCCTCACTCATTTTGCATCTATGCCTTGAAGGTTGAACTTCATAAAGAACTGGTCTAGGGTTAATAAATAGGCAAGAAGAAACTTTATTACTATAAATAATTATTAATAAAGGAGAATAGAAAAGAATAAGAGCAAAGGAGATGCAAAGCAAAATAGAATCAAAATTTATAAGATGGCAAAAAAACACATTAGCAAACCTACTTTAAGAATATCAAACTATCTGTTGTACATTGACTTTAAACAATTTGCAAGAAAAGATGCCTAGGAAGGTGCTACATGGCTAAAAAGATTTAGGGTCTAAACCTTGAAAATTCTTATGATGAGTTGATAATGAAGACAGGCATATAGCCTTAGCACTGTGAAAAGAGAATGAACAGTTTGAAGTGCAACATGCATGAACACTGTCCTACATAAGATTCCAAAATTTCCTTTATGCTCATTTTGACAGTATTGAGGTTGCAACTGTCATAATGAAGAAGATTTAATTAATGCATCCTCAAAGCTGGACCTAATGTTGTAGCATCTGCAGAATAATTGGAAAAAACAGCCATTTAAAACTTCCTCCAAGAATGATTTTCATGTTTTGCAAATCCTGCAAATTGAAAGAATCTATTATATGTGCTTTCTGGGTGAAGGCATGCCCTTCATGATTACTTCTATTAACAACATCAAAACATACTTTAATGCCAAAGGCACCATATATTGTTCAAGATTTTGCGCAATCACATTGAAGGAAATGACAAAGCCTCATTTTACTACTCAGAATTTTCAAGTTCTAATATAATTTGAACTCTATTGATATAATTTGAAGTGGAAAATATTGAAAAGCATAATTTTTAGGTTCCCAACATACTATGAAAGCAAGCTAACACAAATTAGAAAATAGGTTCTATTAGTATTCACTTTCAAGCACTCACCGTAGCTTGTGGCCCACAAGCAGCAGCAAGTACGCTACCAAAGTATGGTTCAGCATAGTGGAATGGAATGTGACCCTGAATGTAATCAGAAAAAGTATAAGATTCCCAGCTTTCGGCAAGA